ACCTCTCGGTCGAAGGTGGACTTACCTAGACGGACTATTTGTCCCAGATAAACATATTTGACAACAACTTCCAGCTTAGTGCTTCCAACAACTACCGGCACAGGTGTGACATGTACATTACTTCAAATCCTACGTACTCCAGGATCCTGCAAAACATAAAGAGACATTCCTCGCCCCCGATTTCTGGCCCTCTGGGGTAGTGTTTCGCCGATACAGGGAAATTTTTATGTATAGAGATTTATATGTTACGGGTTTTGCTAATTGTATTCAAAGTTCCAATCAAATACTACTCACTTAAATCTGACTACAATTTGTATGGGCTGATGATAAATAAGGAGAAGAAATGTAAAAACGACGCCTCCAAAACGCAAGCATGTATTTTAAACGCAAGAAGGAGCCCGCTCCACTTGGCTCCTTCTTCCTCCTTTCATCCTTCCAGGATGTATTTGTTTGGTTGAAATTTTCTAAGACTTATTATACCTTAAAAGATTCATCGAGTCTAAGGCCAAAGCAGCCGCAAGTAAAGCGAGTATCCTTGCAAAGGTGCAGCATTAATTCACGCCGGGACAGCGTCTAACATAATACGAAGAGCGAGACTGCTCGTGTGTTAAGTACTACTGAAACATACCCGCCAAGTCTGAAAAATAGCACCAAGCAGCTCAGTAAAAGAAAAGGTATATGCCATCAAAAACATAACTTGTAAAAAAAACCAAGTCTCGCAACTCAGTTCTTCTACCGTAAAAAGTTGTGAGATCCATGTAATACCAAGTCGGTTAATTTATTCAGTCCCTACTTAAGCGTCCTTCTGTCTTAAGCTATTACGTAATTAGCTTACCTAACAACATCTTATAGTGACCACATCAATACTAAAAGTCTTTTATATTTTAAATAAATAGATTGACTTGGCAATCGCACTAAACAATCTAATTTAATATAATATGTATTACTTGAGAGATACGTTGTGTTATAATATGTATTACAGTTAAGGACCATATCTCAGATCCATAAGTCATCATCACTGGTAACACGCACTGGTTGTACAATCTTGTTTCCGGTTTTAAGGTATGCCAGACGAGAAAATGTGTTGTAATCTCCCGAAATCTGTCCAGCCGAGTTGAATCCATCGTTTGACCTCTCGGTCGAAGGTGGACTTACCTAGACGGACTATTTGTCCCAGATAAACATATTTGACAACAACTTCCAGCTTAGTGCTTCCAACAACTACCGGCACAGGTGTGACATGTACATTACTTCAAATCCTACGTACTCCAGGATCCTGCAAAACATAAAGAGACATTCCTCGCCCCCGATTTCTGGCCCTCTGGGGTAGTGTTTCGCCGATACAGGGACGCGCCAAAGAAAAAAGTTCCCTAAATAGTGTTAAGTTATGTCTATATTTTATATATATATTTTTAGGTTAAGGTATATATTTCTATGGGCCAATGTCCTTAATTTTTAAGTCCTTGATGCGTGAAACAAAGTTATTGTATTATATTGTATTGTATTACACATGATCTTTATTATGTCCATGTTCATCTTAAGACCGATTCTGCCATAAGGACTATATATATCGTCGGCAAATTGAAGTTAAGTCATGTACTCGCCATTGATGTCAATACCGTATCCTCTCCAGTCCAGTGGCTTGAAAACATCTTCCAATGCAGTCAGTGGTGAAGAATTTCGGGGATATTACGTCGCCCTGTCATACACCTCTCTGCATTAGGATAGACTTCTTATTCTGGTCCTGTACTCGGATAGCCATCGTAGCCCTACTGTACAAACACTTCAGCACTTCGATATACTATACTTCAGCACCGCCCAAATTTTGACGGAATCAAAGGTTTTCTCATAGTCCACATACGCAAGACAACTATATATAATACTCTTCGGTCTTCTGTACAATTTGCCGAAAGATAATATACGGAAACCGGCTTGTTCGGGAGGCTGGTAGCCGTCGAATCTGCGTGCGAGACGATTCGTAATGACTCTCGAAAACAGTACATCGACAACAGACAACGAAAACATCTCACAAACAGACGTGGCTCAGGAGGGAAACCGGTCTGTAGTTATTCAAAAGATCATTGTCACCTTTCTCGAAGAACAAAACCACCGCACTTCTGCTCCACGCCTCCGAAGTAGTGCTACCATGGAAGACGGAATTAAACTAAACTCGACCACGGCAATCTTTGAGCAAAAATCTTTGACCGTATGAAATGCAGTGAGCAATTCATTACATGACGTTTCCCTCGTCCCTCCCACCTCTTTCCCCCTCCCTTCGCCGCCGGTTTGTATTATACTGTCGCGTATAATACAGACCGGTTTTCCTCCTGAGCCACGTCTATGATTTCTTCAAGTAATTTGATATTAAGGAACTTAAAATAATGCAGCTTGAATAGTTTCAGAAATAGAATGGCTATTACTACAAAATAATGTGTAGTTAGCTTTAACGACAAAGTTTTTGACTTTATAACTGTAACCTTTGTTGTTAAAGGAATCAGCAATGATTTTATGTATGAGAATTTAGTATTAAAAGACAAATGTTATCAAATGTAACTGTAATTTACTGTAATAATTGCAGTACACATTTTAGAAATAAACATATTATTTATGTGTTTAATTAATTGTTATTAATTATTACCGTGTAGTCCCCATATCATCCCGTGCGTGGGGCGGTGACAGAAGGAAATAAATCAGGGGATGTGCAGCAGTGTCTTCCTAATAACGACTAAATATAAAAAAAACTGCGATTGCTAACCCACTTTCCAAGCGTGGCAACTATGGCAAATATCCCCCCTATGTGGCAATCTATAGGGGAGGCCTATGTTCGGCAGTGGATTTTAATAGGCTGTAACTACTACTATTACTTATACTACGTACCTACTCATTACTTTATGAACATATATTTGTTAAAATATAATGAAACCAAAATTAATGAAAATGGCTCTTTAAAACGAATCTGAAATGTTCACTGTGGCATCATAGTTTATCAAAATTACGCTGTTAACCTATGTTCTGATAAAAAGAAGATAGAAATGATCATCGGTCACTAAATAGTGTGCAGATGCATGTAAGTTTTAGGCCGGTGTTGCGGTGATTACCTTTGTTTCGGCGCTGGAATGTCTGGGGTTAGCTCGACCGGTTAACCGATCACCTGCCTCTGCGCATGTTATATTGAACGATTCAATATAACATGCGCACAGTATTGAGCTGTCAACTTCGGGCTCAGTCTTAGAAAGGTGGCGGTGAGTATCGTTCACTACAGCGAGTGCACAAGCAGATAAGTGGTTGAGTGTTGCTATGCCTTCAACTTTGGTGTCGGTACTGGAATATCGACTGTAAGCATCATCCACTACAGGGTGTGTAACCAGCAGGCAAGTGGTCGAGTGATAATATGCTGTTAACTTCGGGTGAACTTCGTCCAATATTAGGCGTGTGCAGAGGCATGTGATCGAGCAGTATTACTGATCCGTCAAATTCTGCTCCGCTGCTAGAAAGATGATAGTAAGCATCGTCCTTTACAACGTAATCCAAGGCAGTTTAGCCGTCGGCCAGTGCTGCTCTGTCAACTTAAGGTTGTATATAAACTTAAGGTGCTGGGGAAATGGCGGGAAATATGATTTGTTACAATTGGTTTAGGAGTTTAGGAAGTGTAATTGGTAATTCAATAAAAATAGGCAATCATTTATAATAGGAAGAATTGGATCCAGACTTCCGAAGAAGTTATAAACTGATTATAAAAGTGTTAAAAACTAATTTGGCCATTTTGGCTTTTACGACATTTGTTACTTAAAGAGTTGTATGTTTATTTCTTTTTTGTATCGCTTTTTCGTTTCATCAAGTTTCAAATCACAGCGACTCTAAATTTCTAAATAAGTTTTCACTTCAATATATAGTTTAGTAAGTTATTGCCGCGAACTTTAAAGTTACGTCTTATAACTAGTGTTAATTTAATGTTAAAATTATTGAAAAAAAAAAACCAATCAAAACATTTTTAATTCAGCAGCATTAGGCCACTATGGTACTTCTTATTAGTTTGGGGGCTGCTATTTCTTCATACTGTTATTTTGTAAGAGTGTGGTCCTATCACGGTCGAGCCGACACATTCGTACTGCAGATAGTCTATAAAGCTGAAGCTTAGTTCTACCACGTAAGAGATATAGATATTATCATCATCAACAGCTATCCTCTGGGTTAAGCTGTCATTAAAATCTCCCAAGACATTCTCAATGTAACGCATCAGCAAATTGTGAAGATTTTGTAAACAAAATATAAATAAAGCTAGGCTGTATGGTCCAAGAACATTTCTTACCTAATTGGTAACAACAATAACACTCTATTTTATTTTATTTTGGAGTTTATGGCCTGGCATCTAGACCTTTAGGCCAACAATAACACTCTATGGTATTGTGCAGTACTGCTAGAAAATTACATTTCTTACATTTTAGGTAATTTTAAGTCGACCTATGTAACTTATAAATAAGAAAAAATTTAGACACTTATAATAAATCTTTTGAAATATAAATTTAATGCCTTGCTTCTATTTATTATAGTTATAACAATCATAATAAAAGATCACAATTTCGCCCAGTTGGTCAAACAAATCACCAAACGCCTTTTATTTACAGTATTATTCAGAATTAGCTTTTTATTTTTTATTATTTATGGTAGATCAAATCAGAAATAACCACTACGTAAATTTAAATTTAAAAACGTTGCTTTTCAAACATGTTAACGTAACTAAACGTAGTGATTATATTCTCTTTGAACGTAACTTTCAATTAAGCTACGCTGGCAACACTGATATTTTGTTGATCCTAAATAATCAAAAAGTTAATATTCGCTTCCTCTGAGAACTATTTACTAAATGCGTGCTTTTATAAATAAATAGCAAACTTTAATTATGAATCAAATACGTTTCTTACAGTGCCTTAATAACCAGTGCAATCATTTAATATTAAACTAATGCAAAACTTTGTTTACGGATTACATTTGTTTTCATTATGACGAAGCGCCGAAGAATAGTCCAAGCTGACAAAATTATTCAAAATGTTATTCATGTGTTTTGTTTGTTGATGTTTTTGCAATTAAAAGGTATGTTAAACTAAAAAAAATGATGCTCTTTTATGACTTACCTACTGAGTATGCTTATATTCACATTTTATTTCAGGTTATTATTCGGTAGCTAATAATCCCGTTTTGTTATATTCTACCGCAACAGACATAAGAATTTTAAATTCATCGAAACCTGGTAAAGTTAACTTGATAATTAAAGGCTTAGAACAAGGCTCTGCTGTTGATTTTTTGTATGTGAAAAATTTAATATGTTGGTCTGATCAAACTGCAGAATTGATACAATGTATGAATTATAATGAAACATTTTCGGGTGAAAAAGTAAGTATATAAATATTTGTTTAACATAAGAATACTTTAGAACAGTTGAAATCCACCAACACATATTGGGACTTGGTCAGCTCTGTATTTTTTTTATAATTTAGTTAATAGTATAAGATTTTTGTAATATTTGCTTCAACCTTAGAGATCATGGAAGAAGTCTATGTTCAGTAGTGGACTTGTAGTGGGCTGTAATATTATAAATCATATATATGATGATGCTGATGATGATAAACATTGAGCTAATATTATTCTGTGTATTATGCCTCATTTTTATGTATGTATATTGTATTCATGAAGCATCATTTTTTTATATCTTTTTTTAAAAAACGTCACCCGTATACTCTATTCCAATCACGAAGTCCCATTTGACAGATGTCAATAATCAAGTACTAGTAAAGTACCGCTATAGTCGATACTTGACGATATTGATCTTCGATTACTATAACGAACAAATTAAAATCGTATTGATGGAAAAAGGATTAGCATCAAATTAAAATTTATAAAATTGTTTTTTAATTTTAATTAGATAATATTACATGATATTTTTATTAAGATGGAACATATTCATCATCACTAGCCGAAATCGATATTTCATGGTCGGCATCGTCGTCATCACCCTCATCATCGTCTGTAGAATCCCCTGTATTTATTATAATTTGGTTATCTATGACGGCATCGATATGTATGTCTCTGTCCCAATCAGCAAAAATCAAATGTTTTGTTTGTGTTTCCACACTTTCCCAATTCGCGGCAGTAACACTATCACAAGCTTCTTGCAACAATGACAGCATTTTGTTTGCAGTAAACGGTGGGCTGGTATTTTTACGAGCCCCATAACCTAAAATAAAGGTTTGCGTGTTAATATAGCAACAGATAAAATGTTAAAATAGGTAAAAATAAATTATAAAAAAGATTTGTTTAAATTCTTGCCTTTAATTTGCGCCCAAATCAATTCTATGGCATTGTATTGACAATGGTAGGGTAGAAGGCGCATGACATTGTGTACGGCTTCCTTAGCCATTTCGTCCAATACGTATTTTGGTCTAGCTGGCTTATTTATAGCAACCAAATGCAGCAGCTCAACTTTTAACATGGACATGTCAGCAACAATATTATTGTCATTCAGCCATTTCACAATATTGGCTTTTTTGCTGCTAGAAGTTGGAGGCTTACTTATTTGTACTGAATGATACGGTGCATTATCCATAATGATCGTCGATGGCTCATTCAAGTTGGTCAATAAGGTACAAAACCATTCCTTAAATTTAACAAAATTCATCTCTTCGAGGTATTCCACAGTTTTCTTAGATTTAAACGCTAAAAGGCAGTTCGGAACAAATCCCTTCATGGAACCCGCATGACAAATAATTAAGCGTTCGCCTTTGCCACTAGGTACTTTTGTGGAGGAGTGAGGAGTGTCGTCTGTCCATATCTTGCCAACTGTATGATTAGCGTTTAGCCACGTCTCATCTAGAAATATAACATTAATCCAAACGGCAATGGACTTTGCTGATCTTAGAAAATTATATCTGGCTAAAGCTATATCTCTACGTTCCATCAAAATCCGCCTTTTATAACATTTTTTATAAGAAAAGCCAATATTTTTAAAACCCTCCAGAAAGAAGTTCTACTGCCGTGAAACAGTCCAGATTCTCGTAAAGTATTTGACAATTTATCGAGAGTCGGCAATTCGTACCTACTATAGTAGCCATAGATATGGTTTCTAATGGCGTCGTTATCAAAATTGTCGATATGTGTAACTATTAATCTTCTAACTTTTTTCTTAAGTGCCAATTTTAATTTGTTATCTTCCATTAAATCTTTACCATGTTTTTCCTTACATATTCGGGAAACAGTTTTTCGACTAATATACCAAGAGCTGCACTTACTCGGTTAGTCACTTGTGAAAGTGGCAACAATGGACCGCCATTCTGATACTTTCAAAGTAATCTTGTGGGCGTACTACAAACTCTCAAGCTTGACTGCGAATCACTGTTCTTTTAGTGGTTTCAGTTTTGGCCATAGTGTTTATAAATACAAAAAAAAAACAAATCGAATAACAGTCAAAACTTAATAACAACGAAAGAATTATCAAACAGTTATAACTACAATAACAAGAACAAAATAAAGACACAACACAAAATCAACTAAACTGAACACGCGTACAACGCAACAATATAATAAATCGTATGGATGCCAAGAAGGCTCCTGGCTTTGACCTGATTGACAAAAAAGTACTTTCGGAATTACCCAAAAAAGGTATTATGTTCCTCACCATTTTGATTAATGGAATCATTCGCATTGGCTACTTCCCAGCACTGTGGAAAGTTTCACAAATTATAATGATAGGGAAGCCTGGTAAACCTGTTCATGAAATAACCTCATACCGACCAATCAGTTTGTTACTAGTAACATCAAAAGTTTGTGAAAAAATATTGTTGCAAAGGCTTATGAAAGAACTCCGTAAAAGAAGTATCATTCCAGACCACCAATTTGGATTCCGACAGGATCATGGTACGGTTGAACAGGTACATAGGGTTTGCAGTACAATCAGAAATGCACTAGAACATAAAGAATACTGCTCCTCTGCATTCCTGGATGTGCAGCAGGCTTTTGATAAGGTTTGGCATACAGGGCTACTATTTAAAATTAAATCTCTTTTACCTCATACATTCTTCGGATTACTGAAGTCTTACCTGACCGATAGAATCTTTCAAGTCAAAGAAGGTGAACATACTTCCACGTTCCATCCAATTAAGGCTGGTGTGCCACAAGGCTCAGTGCTTGGTCCTGTGCTCTACACAATTTACACAAATGACCTACCACAAATTGACAACGTCACTGTGGCTACCTTTGCGGATGATACTGCTGTTCTTGCTTGCAGTAGAAGTCCTGACGATGCTTCAGCAATCCTACAACATAGTCTAGATGAGATTGACAAATGACTATCAAAGTGGAAAATAAAGGCTAGTGCCACAAAATCAGTCCATGTTACGTTTACCTTGCGTCGAGGAAACTGTCCGCCTGTCTCATTGCATAACAATTCGCTCCCGCAAAGTGACAACGTTAGGTACTTGGGCATGTACTTGGATAGAAGGCTCACTTGGAAGAAGCACATCCAAACCAAAAAGGATGAGATCTACCATAGATACAGAGGACTGTATTGGATGCTCGCAAGGAATTCCAGACTTTCCTTAGACAATAAGCTCCTGCTATATAACATCATTATAAAACCGATATGGACATACGGCATACAACTTTTGGGATCAGCATGTGACTCCAACATCGAAATCATTCAAAGAACCCAAAACTACATACTTAAACAACTTTCAAACGCACCATGGTTCATAAAAACATCTGAAATCCATGAACACCTTAAAATGAACTCAGTTAAGGAAGAAATTAGGCGCTACAGCTGCAACTACAAAACAAGACTTGGCAACCATCCAAATCAATTAGCATGGCAGTTGACAATGCCACAAGCGATTCGTCGCCTAAAGAGAAGGCATATACTTGACAATGTATAGTTGAGACTTATGGAGTGCTTCCCGCTGGGGAAGTTTTCTCTGCACGCCAATCTGTCCTACAACCAATCTGCTCATAGTCCATCGACTGATTGCATGATAAATCACAAAAAAAAAAAAACTGAACACGCATATCGTATACAAGGCTTCTGCACTCGTAGTCTCGTACAGAAGAGACAAACAAAATGGCGGTCGTGATCACAAGGTGGATGCAGTGTTGACAGATTTTCACTCGTGAAAAGAATCTGTCTATAATCAATTTTATACGATTCTTTTAGTCACGTCACTATGTAAAAAAGTAAAAATAAAACTATATTCTAAGAAGTGTCAAAAGGGACTTCGTAATTGGAATAGAGTTTACACTAGGAGTTTCTCCTGTATCGTGGAGGCAGTTTGCAAACATAGATTGCATAAGGTCAAACATCCAGACCCGGAACAATTATTTGTAGGCCACACAAATACTTGTTCCGTGCGGGATTTGAACCTGCAGCCTCCAGCGTTACAACTCATTGCTAAGCCACTGAGCCGACAATAATTTCATTTTTCATCAAGACAAAATGTGGGTAGACCATAACTTTTGTTTTATAATGGCCAAACGAAATGTATAGTATTTAACATATCATAAGTTTGGTCAAGAGATTTTCTTGAAAATTAAAAAGACAATTTGTATATTAACTGTTGATTCAATTTCGTGTTAGCAATATTTTATTGATCCATGAAAAAAAGACCTAGTCAGATTTGGATAAAATAAATATTTTTTCACAGTTATGATATAATATGACCCTATTCATTACTGTGTATTTTTATTATTGAACTTCACCAATTATTCTTGTAAGCTTCTATGATAAATAATCTAATATATAAAAATTAATATTTGTTTATTTGTAATTTATGCGCTGCCATACTGTTCATCAGCTTGCGTTAAAATTTTGTCAACTTATTGCTGGCACTGGCACAAAAGTTATAGGCATAATACAATTAAATTACAGTAGATGGCATGCATATTGTATTGACAAATTTATTTGAAAGTTATATATCATTCAACTTCAATTAATGTATTATCATTTCTAATCAAACCATATAACTCTTTCGAGCTTAAAATGATATTTCCACAATTATTTATTCTGCTAACAGCTAGTTAAGATTATATTTTTGTATAGATGCATTGCATTGCATGCCTGTGCTATGAAATGGTGGCATAAGTTAATAAGATATCTACTGCCCTACATCATCAGTGGGTGTCATAACAGGTGTTAGAGGGAAATGAAACTGGAGATAGCAGCAGCATCTTCCTTATAATATCTTAAACAAGTGGGATGCGGGAATTAAGGACTGTGTAAGAACCTCCGAAGGAGTTGGAGGTATGGCTGAAATAAGAATTTTAAACTTTTTGGTTTTTGACCATTTTGACCCTAGGAGTGTAACGCATACTCTACATGATAGGCTATTCAAACTGACTATGCCTAAAGTTCGAGTCACCCGTAATTTTTTGGTTTTTGGTCATTTTGACCCACTAGGGGTGCAAAGAGAACTTTTTGCCCCTATTCAACTATGACATCCTTTACATGATAGGCTATTCAAACTGACTAGGCCTAAAGTTCGAGTAACCCCCCAGCTCATTTCTAAAGTGTACTTACAAATAATGATAAAACTACGGTCAAACCTGCTGCTAGGTACTACTGAATTTTTTCAGTAAAATGCAGCACATTCAATTATCAAAATTTAAATTTATATATATCATGGAATACTGTTCCCATCTCTGGGCAGGGGCTCCCAGTGCCAGCTCCTTCCACTTCACTGCATCCAGTACAGAGCGGTTCGAAACGTCGACGACAGAGTTCTTTCCGATCGGCTTGACTCACTGGCACTGCTTAGAGATGTTGCATCTCTTTGCGTATTTTATTGCATCTACCACAGGTAGTGCTCTAAGGAATTGTTCGGACTGATTCCAGCCGCTCAATTTCACCATCGCACATCGCGACAAAACTCGCGATACCATCCATACCATCTGGGTGATTGTTGGTCTACCACTGTGCGATTTAGAAGAAGTTTTCTTTCTTGCACAATTCCTTTTGGAATCGATTACCACCAGCGATTTTTCCGGACCGATACGATTTAGGGACCTTCAAGAAAAGAGCCTACTCCTTTTTAAAAGGTTGGCAATGCATCTGCAATTCCCCTGGTGTTGCAGTTGTTAATGGGCGGCGGTAGTCATTTACCATCAGGTGAGCCGCATGCTTGTTAGCAGGGGGCACCTAATAAAAATATATGAATTATATTTATTCTTATATATTATTTCACAGGAAAGAATTGTATCAGAAGGATTGATCACACCAACCGGTATTGCAATAGATTGGTACACAGATAAAATATATTGGACAGATGGTGAAACTAACAGAATAGAAGTTATTAGCATAGATCAGAAATATAGAAAAGTATTATTTTGGTCCGAAGTTGATTTAGCAAGAGCAATTGCTGTTGTTCCAAAACAGGGGTAAGAATTGTTTTAAAATAGATTCTGATTCATAATTAAAAAACACAATGTAACATTTCTTAACAAGTGATTCTTTGTTTTTAAACAACTTCAAAAAAAGGAGGAGGTTCTCATTTCGACTGTATATTTTTTTTGTATGTTACCTCAGAACTCTTTACTAGGTGAACTGATTTTGATGATGAACGGATTACAAAAAGATAGGATACCAGGAGTGAGCTAGGTTATTTTTTATTCAAAAACATGGATAATATGTTTTGAAAATTCATAAAAACTGATAAAATAAACTGGTTGTTGATGGTTATCTCATAAACTACATAAGATAAAAAAAGGTTCAAACAAAACTTTAATTTTTATTTCAAAATACTGATTTCCTCTTGCAAATAATTCTCACGAAATGAGAACATTATCAATTCTTGTTGCAGATTAATGTTTTGGACTGACTGGGGTGAGATACCTAAAATAGAACGAGCTGGTATGAATGGGGATCCATCCTCTCGTAAAGTAATTGTTAAAGACAATATATTTTGGCCAAATGGGATCACAGTGGACTACAACAATAATGTAATATATTGGGCAGATGCAAAATTACAATTTGTAGATATGATAGATTTCAATGGTGAAAACAGAAACAGAATTGTAAAAGGAGGATTGGAATATCCGTATGCACTTACATTTTTCAATGATAAGCTTTATTGGACTGATTGGAAAACTTGGTGAGAGTGTATTCTATTCTTTTATTTGGAATCACTTAAATACTGCATATATAGTATATGTATAGTACCACGCTCTCACAAAATACCAGCCTAAAATAGTAACTTAATGTGGCTGTATTTTGTATGGTGAGTGTAAAGAACCGAAGACCATTTTAACTGTATAGAGGTATTTTCCAAACCAGTGGAAAAAAAAATGGTTATCAATAAGTATTATGTAATAAGCAATATTGAATAAAAAATAATTCTATTCTATTATAACTGAAAACAAGGCATTCCATCTCAGTCCTCAGGGGTGACCATGCATCTGCATTTTGATTCTTAATTGAGGATAACGATACACACATTAGAATCCACTTACCATCAGGTGGACTGTGTGCTCGTTTGTCACCCTTATTCTATAAAAATATCATTAGTGTACATAGTGAATCGGCTATGGAAAATGCCACAAAAAATCTTATAGCTTCTGTTACCTATATTCTATACTCAGCCCCACAAGTGACAGCATCGTCAAAGGTACAATATGTCTACTACAATGATCACAATGTTAAATGTGTCGATTTAGGCAACTCGTCACTGCAACAGTAAATACACATGTTAACGCCCACCACGCTGAATGGCTTGGTTCTCGTTTAACCGATCATGCGGGTAGATCTGTCTATGACTTTGCCTTGGCATATAGTCTAACACAACTGGTTACTTCGCCTACGCGGATCCCAGATGTGGAGGATCATGTACCTTCCCTGTCGGACCTTTTGCTGACCTCTCATCCGGACAGATATCAGGTCTCCGTCGATGCCCCTCTGGGCTCTTCGGACCATTGTCTGATCCGGAGTACAGTGCCACTCACGCTGCCATCGCAGTTGCGATCTGCAGCTTGCCGCCGTGTTTGGCACTATAGGTCAGCCGATTGGGACGGGATGGGGTCTTTTTTTGCATCCTACCCTTGGGGGCGGGTTTGCTTCTCGCGGAAGATCCCAGCGTTGTTGCCGATTCTGTTGCTGATGTGGTACTTCAGGGTATGGAACTTTTTATTCCATTCTCTATAGTGTCCATTGGAGGCAGATCCCAGCCATGGTTTGGTCGCTCCTGTAAAATAGCATCACGCTATAAGCAGGAGTGCTACCAGGCCTGGGCTGACGCATCAACGTCCCGGGATATAAACACCAGCGCTCTTAAAAAGAAGTATAATTCCGCCTCCAGGTCCTTCAAAAGTTTCATTGCCAAGGCAAAGTCAGAGCACATCGGCAGAATTGGCGAGAAACTAGTTCACCTTCCTTCGGGAACACGTGCATTCTGGTCTCTCGCCAAGGCTGTCCAAGGAAACTTCTGTCAGCCATCTCTACCATCTCTGCACAGGGTGGACGACTCACTGGCCCATGACGCAAAGTCTGCTAGGCTCTCTTTTAGCTTCCAACTCGACTCTAGATGACGGGGGGAACACACCGCCGACCATCCCGCGGTGTGAGTGCTCCATGCGGGAAGTGCTGTTTACACAGCGCTTGGTGCGTAAAGCACTCCTGTCCCTGGACGTCAACAAGTCGAGTGGGTCTGATGGAGTCCCGCCTATTGTGCTGAAGACGTGTGCTCCAGAGTTGGCACCGGTTTTAACGCGTCTTTTTAAGTACTCCTACTACCTAGGCGTAGTCGCGAACTCCTGGAAGACAGCTTTGGTGCACCCGATCTCTAAAAAAGGTGATCGCTGAGATCCGTCCAACTACAGGCCTATCGCTATCACCTCCTTGTTCTCCAAAGTAATGGAAACGATTATTAACAGCCAGCTCTAGTGGTACCTTGAGGATCACCAGCTGATTAGTGACCGCCAGTACGGTTTCCGTCGAGGTCGCTCAGCTGGTGATCTTCTGGTCTACCTAACTCATAGATGGGCGGAGGCAGTGGAGTCCAAGAGGGAGGCGTTGGCCGTTAGTTTGGACATAGCGAAGGCCTTCGATCGGGTTTGGCACAAAGCGCTTCTTTCGAAGCTGCCTTCCTATGGGCTTCCCATGAAATTGTGCAATTGGATCAACAGTTTTCTTGCAGATCGGAGCATCAAGGTCGTAGTAGACGGTGCATGCTCCAATTACAAGCCCATTAACGCTAGTGTTCCACAAGGCTGCGTGCTATCACCAACGCTGTTTCTTCTGCATATCAATGATATGTTGCAAACCAGTAACATTCATTGCTATGCAGACGACAGCACTGGTGATGCTTTATACACCGGCCGTGCCAATATTTCTCGGGAAAACGTCGCCGAGTACCGGGACAAACTTGTGTCTGAAGTCGAGAATTTGTTGAACAAAGTCTCAGGCTGGGGGCGACTAAATCTAGTCCAGTTCAATCCCCTGAAGACACAAGTTTGCGCGTTTACCGCTAAAAAGAATCCCTTTGTCGTATCTCCTCAGTTTCTAGGCACTCCCCTTGTTGCCTCAGCCAGTATCGGTATCCTCGGTGTCGACATATCGAGTGACGTGCAGTTTCGTGGTCACTTGCAAGAGAAGGCCAAATTGGCCTCTAAAAAGCTTGGCGTGCTCAGCAGAGTGGGACAGTATTTCATACGGGGACACCGCTTGCAACTTTATTAGGCGCAGGTTCGGCCTCACATGGAATACTGTTCCCATCTCTGGGCAGGGGCTTCCCAGTGCCAGCTCCTTCCACTTAACCGCATCCAGCGTAGAACGGTTCGAATTGTCGACGACTGAGTTCTTTCCGATCGGCTTGACTCACTGGTACTGCGTAGAGATGTTGCATCTCTTTGCGTATTTTATCGCATCTACCACGGTAGTGCTCTGAGGAATTGTTCGGATTAATTCCAGCCGCTCAATTTCACTATCGCACATCGCGACAAAACTTGCGATACCATCCATATCATCTGGATGATTGGCGGTCCACCACTGTGCGATTTAAAAGACGTTTTTTCCTCGCACAACTTCCTTGTGGAATCGATTACCACCAGCGATTTTTCCGGACCGATACGACTTAGGGACCTTCAAGAAAAGAGCCTACTCCTTTTTAAAAGGCCGGCAACGCATCTGCGATTCCCCTGGTGTTGCAGTTGTTCATGGGCGGCGGTAGTCACTTACCATCAGGTGAGCCGCATGCTCGTTTGCCCCCTCTCCTATAAAAAAATGTTAAGCTTTTATGGACTGATAGAAAAAGAACGATAAAGAAGAATTACTTCATAACTTGATTACCTATGTCATGCCATACCAGGTCCTATCTAAAGTCTGATTTACACAGGGTCAGTAACAGGCACCAGTGCTAGCGCCGAGGACTGACATGCAATGTTTACATGCAGTCAGTAGTTGTGGTAACTTCTTGAGGGTGTATGCACGTTGAAGTCAATGGGCAAAAATGAATACACAGAAATGGCGGAATTTACAACAATTGAAATATTTTTTGAGAATATGTTCCTATATGTTGTTGAAAGAGTTAGCGGATACGATAAAAGAGATATTTAAAAAGAAACTACTTTGGATAAGAAAATGGATAGACGACAGAAAAGAAACTGGATGTTCTGCTTTATTGTTGACGCGGTGTCACCCTACAATGCAGCGCCAGCGACTGAGCAAGTACTGACTTGGTCCTTTAGACAAGGTCAATACAGCTGGCGCGGGTGGCGGGGGGAGTGGACTGACTTAAATATTCAAGCAGGAATATTGACGGCGCGACAGCGCTGTACTGACTCCAAATCAATTTACACTATGTCAGTAGCGGGTCAACACTGACTTGCCTGTGATTTGGAGCCACTTACTGGCCCTGTGTAAATCAGCTATAATATTACAACAATAAAGATTACAATCTGACAAATTTGTCAATAAGTGACATAAGTGTAAAGTGTCATTAGGTAGTGTCCAGATTGCACAGTTCTAAACAACATAACTAACATAATGTATTTAAACAATGCTGCTTAACACTGCTTTCGAAATGTTTTTTTTATAGGATAAGGGTGACTTACACACACACAATCCACCTCGTAGTAATTGGATACTGTGGCCCATAGACTGAAGACTAAGGCAGAATGTCTCTTTTCCTTTAAAAAGGGTCTTCTGTTCTCTACACACCATACGAAACAAGGCAGATTAAGCTGTTATTTTACACTGGTATTCTGTGAAAGTTTGGCCCTTCCAAGCCGACCTGTTTATGCTACAAACAATATAACTACGAGGGCGGCACTGAAAATTTCGGGAATCAATGAAGTGACACAACATTACTATTTACAAATGTATTTATTGCTTTTCGAAGTATTCTCCGCGAAATTTGACACATTTTTCCATACGATGGAACCAATCATTGAAGCAACCATTCCATTCGGAAGTTGGGGTCTCCAAAACGGCCGTTTTGTAGGCGTCCACAGCTTCTTCAGGTGATAAAAATATCTGTCCACGCAATTTATTCTTTATTTTAGGGAAAGCATAGAAATCATTAGGGCTGTACGGCGGATGGTCTAATAATTCTATGTTTTCTTGCTCTAAAAACTCTTTTGTTCTGTGTGCGGTGTGAGAACTCGCATTGTCGTGATGGAGGATGATGCGGCGGTTGCAGTTCTTTTTACGGAATTCAGAAACGACCTGTGGCAAACAAATGCTAGCATACCATTCTGCATTAACCGTTCTTTGTCCCTCAAGAGGAATAGTCGTAACATGGCCGGTTTTGGAGACGTGGCCACTATTTTTTTTTTTGCAACACTCCATGAACGACCAATTTTTGTTGGCTTTAACTCATTTTCGAACACCCAAACTCGTGACTGGTTTTTTGTTTCGGGTTCGTACGCGTATATCCAGGATTCGTCACCTGATACGATGTTGTATACAGCATTTGAGGATCCTGCGTGGAATCTTTCGAGAGTTCTGACGCAACAAGTAACGCGATCCGCTTTTTGCTCTTCACAGAGCGAATGCGGTATCCATCGGGAAAACAACTTTTTTACACCTAATTGTTCATGCAAGATTATTTGTATTTGACTCATGCCAATGTCTAAAGTTGCGTGAATTTCGCGGTGTGTCACATGTCGATCTTCCTCAATTAAGTTACGCACAGAATCAACGTTTTCTTGGGTGACTGCAGTTTTTGGGCGACCTTGACGGGGATCATCACTGAGCTTGACACGTCCACGTTGAAATTCAGCAAACCAGCGATAAATTGTGGTTTTGGATTACTTCATCACCAAATGCAGAAGTCATCCGGTCAACACACTGTTTTTGTGTTAAACCACTTCGAAAGTCATAATAAATCATCGCTCTTGAATTTTCTCGAGTCAATTCCATTTTCTCAACGGCTAAACAAGTTTGATAAAACCTTGTGGCAAGACCGAGAATCTTTTTTTAAATAAATAAATGGTATTCGATTTTTAAAACCAAGGAGTTTTCAATTAAAAAGATTTTAATATGACAGGAACAGTGGAAATATTCTATTCCCGATACTTGTAGTGCAGCCCTCGTATAGCATAGTTCTACCACATAGAATACGTTAATAAAGACTAAAGACTTTTTTTTTATAAAAGACAAAGACTCAATAAAGACATGCCTTTCACAAACTTGTAAATGCTTTAGATAGGCTTTTCCTTGATATTGAACACTAGCTGTTCCCCGCGACTTCGCCCGCGTGTTATTTGGGGTTTTAATTTTTTTGCGCGGAACCCTAATTCTTTTTTTTTCTTTAATAAAAGTAGCGTAAGTTAATACTCCTTGTGATATCAGCTATATCTACCAGTGAAAATCCCGTCAAAATCGGTCCTGCCGTTTCGGAGATTAGCCGGAACAAACAGACAGACAAAAACTTTAAAAATTGTACTTTTGTTATTAGTACCGTATATAATTTCATATGTATTTAGTAAAAAGCTGTAATTTTGACATTACAAATAGACACTACAATTTTATTTATTTGTTTAGATTTAAAATTTATGACAGTTAGCTTTGATAACATAATAAAACATCTAAACGTATTAATTAATTACTATTTATGGTATCATTTAAATTTCTAGGACAATTTACACTTGGGATATTTCTACAAATGGCCCCATAAAAGAAGTCATAAAATCTGACCCAGTACCAGTTGATATCAAAGTGTTTGATGAAAATCGACAGTTAATGCCTACAGAAGATCATCCATGTAAATATAACAATGGGGGGTGCTCTCATCTGTGCCTTTTGTCTCCTTCCCCACCAGGTATATAAAATGTTGTTTATATTCATAATTTCAACAGCAACTTCTAAATCTCTTGTGCAAAGTTATATTCATATTGAAAATAAATTTCATGACTTTAAAGAAGTGACTACATGACAATGATATCAATATATCCCACTGAATGTTGATTGTATACCGCGTAGTGCTAGTAGGAATATGTAGGAATATCCACTAACCCATATTGTCCCGTATGTGTTGTAAGAGGCGACGAAGGAAAACAAAACCAGGACATGGGCATATAAGTGACATAAATATCACATTTTCCTAATAACAACTAGAAAATAAAAAATTGCAGTTTCCAACCCGTCTGCCAAGCATGGCAACTATGGCAAATATTTTCCTTGTGAGTTGACCTATGGGGAAGCCTATGTCCATCAGTGGACTTTGATGAAGTCTGCATTGAATAAAACTGGATTATCTTAGGTCGTAATTTAGTTTTCGAAATTTTATGAACAATGGAATTTAGTAGGACTTTTTTATTAACGTCTATTACAGTATACATACCTTTTAACAATGAAGAAGTGCTTTGACCGTCAATAAGTATCATGGACAAAAAATTGAAATAGCTGTTTAAATATCTCAATAATATTATTTTGTTGTAGGCTATGTTTGTGCCTGCCCTACTGGTGTAAAGTTAAAGGAAGGCAGCAACACAACATGTTACAAAACGCCACAGTCCCTGCTGTTGATTGCCCAGCGCTCCATCATATCCAAGATCTCTTTAGACTCTCCCGACTTCACACCTTACACAGTGCCTTTGAAGGATCTCAAAAGAGCTTTGACTGTAGATTTTGATCCAAAGACTGAATATATGTATTGGGCTGATAGCTTAGTAAGTATAGCTTAGCTTCATAATTCAGTTTGTAAGAAAAATAATGTATCTTAGTGCATGATTTAAAATGAGCTATAATATTGTTGTATTTAATAAATTAGGTAGTCATTACCACTGAAAAGTGCACACTAACATCACTCACACATGGGTACAGTGGTATATTAAAAGAAATATAACAAATTGAATATCAAAAATCAATCATTCTGTTATTCCATGCATGTGTAAAGATTGCAGCTGAACAAAGTATTACTTGTCTTAGTTATGACAAGTAATAATTTTTAGGGTGGGCGTTATGTTTTCTACTCTCTTTCTACTCAGTAGCCAATTATTATTATGATAAAACGTAATAGTTTGTTCAGAATTAACCCTAGAAACATATCATATGAATTATAGTATAGCCATGATTAACTCGAATCTTAGTTAGAATCTCAATCAAGTTGGTTCAAGGTCACAGTTAATCATAGCGAATGCCAAACTATAGTCTTAGGTAGTGCATGTCAATTAGGTAAACTTAGTCACACTACATTAGATCTACTGGCGGGGTAATTTTGTACATTACTCATGTTAAGGAGTTAGGAGTAATCTTAGATAGTTAGTGATTTGACCCATATTGTGTTACAAAATCATTTTCTCATCAACAGTCCAAAACAATATCACGCGCGCGTCTCGATGGAAGCGAGCAATCTGTAGTGGTACACAGTAGCGGTGTCCCGGATAGCATAGCAATCGATCCGCTTGCCAGAAACATCTACTGGACCGACCCTGTTACAGACACCATCAGTGTTGCCAGACTTAATGGAAGCTGCAAAAAAGTAAGAATTAACAAAATTCTTGTTTAATGATAGATAGCGGAACGAGTCGTGAGCAGGAATCGACAGTGGTGAGCGTAGCTTTGCGCATGTACACTTCCCGGCAAGTGCAAGTAATTAGACAAATGACATGTAAGTATCATCCACAAGACGACCGTCTGAGGGATCAATCGTGAAAAGAAATTTTAATTGTTGCCGCCCCACTTATACTTTTTTGGTAAACAAAGATGCTCATAATATGATTATTGCCAGGCCAAGCGTACTCCGCATTTAAGATACAAGGCTACAAATAAATATATATTATCGTTTAAAAATCTGCCAATAACAAGCCACATTATCCAATAGCGTCCTGAGGGTGATTTTCTGACATGTAGATGTCTGACACATCTGATATGTAGTCGGTACTTGATCCACAGCTGTATGATTCATATGCTGACAAATCATTGCTGACCTTAGTCAGTAAATACTTACTACGTTACCTTAGTAAGGTAGTAAGTATTTAGTTTTACAAACAAATATTTGTATTTTTTTTTGGTGTTAGTACTCTTTTTCTGCCTTGGTGTCCAATTGGGTAGGTACCATCCTCTAACCTACTACTGCCGCCAAATAGCACTGCTTGAGAGATAATTCCAGTGTAAGTATAGAAAGCTAGTATAATAACAGACTATGAGGTATTCCATCTCAGTCCCCCGTCAGAGACGACAACTCATTTGTAGCTTTCTTTGTTTGAAGTTGGCCACAAGAGTCCATGGGTTGTACTAGCCACTTACCATCACATGGACTCTAAGTGTGTTTGTCAGTTCAGTTTTATAAAAAAAAGTGTTACATGACCCTCGATGAATGAAATAAAATATTAGTATGTATTCATATATTATTGTACACAGGTTGTTATTCACGACGAACTTTACGATCCCCGAGCCATAGCTCTACATCCTACCGCCGGTTGGATGTTCTGGTCGGATTGGAACGAGAAGAAACCGAAAATTGAACGCGCAAACTTAGACGGATCTGGGAGGATATTATTAGTATCGGAAAAATTGACCTGGCCTAATGGGATCGCATTGGATACTGTCAATAATAAGTTGTATTGGGGAGATGCTAGAACACACAAAATTGAGGTAAGGTTTATATACCGGGTGTTTATGAAACGCTCCCGAAAACGAAGACAGACGACAGTACTAACGATACCTTTGATAATGGGTCAGAAAGAAAATCGATCCCGAGGAAAAAATCATATTTTCACAACGTTTTATTAGCTTATTCACGCTCCATTATGTTAGTACATCTAAATGAAACGATAACTTCATTAAAAAAAGTCGTGAAAATACTTAAACATAAAACCAGCAGTGTAATTTAAGTCAGCTGACTAGGGTCAATATCCTCGCGGACGCCAAACTCTTTTATCTAGCTCGGTACGAAACTGACGAAACAATGCTTTATGCACACATTTCAACGTTGCAACGTGTGGAGAATTTCCCAAATTGCAGGGAATTTAAATTTGGTTGGGGATTTTATGGGGATTAGTATAATGCGGGGATTTTGAAAATCGATAGCCCGGGCCAAGTCGGAACCTTTTTTCATGAAATCTAAATACTTATCTCAACATTTTTGTTAGGTTACTTATTAAATATCGAATGACTCCCTTTTTTAATTATCTGCATCGCACAACATTTAATTTTCGGATTTATTTCGGCAACATTTTTTAATTTTAAAGCAGAGAACCGCATGCATATAAATGCAGATGCTGTGGTACTTTTTAATGGCAACAAGGGAATGAATTAAAATACTCCATGGAGTAAAATACTTGTTACAAAATGGAAAGTGTGAAAATAAAAAAATCTTATAAAGTTAGTTGAAAAGTGGTTAATCTCTTATAATAATTATAATGAAGGAAACTTGTGGAGAATCTTTTGAAGTTTTGTCCTTAAATTGGAGAATTTGACATGGATTTTCGGAGAATTTGATAAATTCGTGTTGGCAACGCTGCCATGTTGCACCGAAATTTACCTACTAAGATTTGTTTAGGAAATATAAGAATTATAGGCGGCAATCACAATAAAACTTGCAAGTAATTTTTAATACTTTGACGTACCTTTTTTAAATTCAAAGTATTGGACGGATTAATAACGGCAAGTCAATTAAAATAAAGTAAAAGAATAATTTTTTAGATTAATGAACTGTCGATCATAATTGCAATTGATTTTAACTATTAAATTATTCAGTACCATTTCATTTCTATTTTCTTGTACAAAATCAAAGATAAAGATGAAATAGTGTTTATAATTGTGTAAGTGAGATCCCATTTAGGTACGTTTATTAATTTCAATATCATTTTTGTAGTAATGAACTGCATGTTGCGTCAGGGTACAGTTGATTGTCTAATTGTATTTAAAAAATGACAACTATAACTTTTAAATTCCATATGAAGACTCGTCGTAGTGATAACTAAACTTATAAAATTAATGTTGGCAATGTCGTAACAGCTTAACGATCTGTGGAAATAATCAAAGTGCTTACCGCAAGAACGTGAGGACGCAAGCACTTAGCGGTAGGCATTTTGTTTTGGCGGGATTGGTTATTAATTTTAGTTTTTGAGCCAGTTCCGTGTTGACTACCACGTACGTGTGAGCGACAGTCGTTTTGTTTATTAAATTCTTGTTGTTATTACTTATTGTTATTATTCATGTTATTACATTTTGTGTTTTTTGTTTTGTTTTAATAACGCTTAACGCGTACGTTTATAGCGCTCGTGAATACGACAACATATTAATGTGCCTTGGAGCCACGGAGTATTTAGATCGGTAAGCTGTTTACCTCATACCTAATTTTTTTTTAAATACTTGGTGTTAAACTGATCTGAATGGGTACATAACTGAATACATCAGAATAATAAACACACCTACACGATGGATGAAAAAGCATGACTCTATCCTTGTTAACATTTCATTTAAGTAAATTTTTCATTAGCGGGGAATCGAACCAGGTATTTGGTTTATTGAACCTGTGAATTCGAATTAAGTATTTCGAAGTTAGTGGAAACAAGCACAGTGTATATAATAGTAATTAATATATTCATATAATATAGTAAATAATAGCTTAAGTAGATAAGTTAGGTATTTAGATAAGTGTTGAAAATTATTAGGTATTGGTACGATCGCTAACTGCGGGCCGCGCGCATTCTCCGTCCGCGCGAATATTGACACTAGTCAGCTGATTTAAATTACACTGCTGGTTTTATGTTTAAGTATTTTCCTGATTTCCTGATTATGAAGTTATCGTTTCATTTAGCTGTACTAACTAGCCGAACTAACTAATGATGGAGCGTGAATAAAATTAATAAAAAGTTGTGAAAAAATGTTTTTTTTTCTCGGGATCGATTTTCTTTCTGACCCATCAAAGGTATCGTTAGTAATACCGTCTGTCTTCGTTTTCGGGAGCATTTCACAAACATTCTGTATATGTCTGTGGCCCAAACTAACGCTGGATGATGTTACCAAATCCCATTTAAATAATGTTAATTAATGTTAGTTTTATATAAATATAGTTAAATAAATATAGTTTTATAATGGTAGTACGAATTATTGTTACCTTGTTTATCATGGTAAAAAAAAAACTAACAATTTGTGGCAATGAGGGCCTGATCTTATTCTTGCTACCAGGGCCAAAGACGTATTAAAAAAGATAGACAGGTTACACACTAACATTATTGTATTTTAAAGTGGCGCAGGTACTACTATATCTACGTACAGTTATTTATTATGACACGTTGCGCTAACAAAAAGAGACAAGTGATAGGGTGATACCTATTGTTAGAAAAAGATGAACATACATCATCGATTAGTAGTATCGATTGCTGCCGAGCGCTCAATGGCGCGAGCGCGTGACATACCGATATGGAAAATGAACACACCAGCTAGCGTTAAAGTTTACGGTAGCGGTTAGTGTTGAAATAATAAAACCAATTATGAACAAAACATCTATATTCAAAATATTAATAAGACGTTTTACTTGTTTCTAATAGCTGCCGTGTAATATGTGCACCACCTAAAACATAAGAAGGCATTTTTGCCACGAATAACTAGAAGATAACTGTAGCGAAGGTATAGCCGCGACGCGAGAGCGTACCCGACTGAATGCGAGTCGGGCAATTACCTGACAATCGTATTGCCATTTTAGAGCGAGTATGACGTATCTATACTTTTAAAAACATCTTAGACCAGGACCGTGTTTAATAAACGTTACAATTCGATAATTTTTGTAAATAAGTGACATATTTGTTAAGTTGTATGATAAGTACTGTTTAAAATAACCTTATAATTATGTAAGAACTGTTCCTCGCGACTTCGCTCTCGTGGAATTTACTACAATTTCATGGGTTTGAATTTTTTTGTACGGAGCCCTAATTCTTATTCTAAAATAAAAGTATCTTAAGTTACTCCTCATAACATCAGCTATCTGCTAGTGAAAATTCCGTCAGTATCGGTCCAGCTGATTCGGAGATTAGCCGGAACTAACAGACACACAGACAAGATTTTTTTTTGTTATTAGTACCATATATACTTTCATATGCATTTAGTAAAAAGCTGTTATTTAAAAATTACAAACAGACACTTCAATTTTATATATTCGTATAGATTTTAAGAATTTGACACAAATTTTCTTATAAATATTCAGACAGGGCAAATAAGATATATTTGACAGATTTCATAGTGCGGGAAGTTATTAGTATTCACTGAATGCTGCATATACCTAGTATTTGGACCAAGCAACTGAGCAGGACATTATGTTATTAAGTTTTCGTTAATCTATTCTTTGGTAATTATGTAGACATAGACATGCATTTATTTAGCAACTTACACTCATTCAGTTTTGATACAGAAAATAAAATGATATATAAAAACATCAAAGATAAAAGTAAATAAGAAAAAACAGCAATAAAATGATCCGATTGCATGAGTGATGTGGTGCTGAAAAGGGTACTGACTCAACATAATGCTATCGCAGCATTGCGGTAGCGTTGGTTTTCAGCAATGCCCATTGAGGTTGGACTCGCCCGCGAGGATAGTGTGTTCTCTTTATTTCTATTTTCGATAAAGATGTTATCAAAATAATAAAATAAAATAATGGAATGAAAAAGGATGGGAACTTTATTTATGCAGTAGGTATATATAAATGTATATAATAAATAATATAATGAGTATTTTCAATAAAACAATATAGATATTTATATTATGCTATGAAAATATAATGCAGCTATTTTATCCGCCCTAAAAGTTAAACTGACAAAAGTATTCTTTTACTTTTACCTTGAAAAGGCTCATGGTATTTAGTTGACGGATAGGTGGGGGCAAGTTGTTCCAGCATTTAGTAGCTGCATTTCGGAAACTACCGCGGAATGCTGCCGTTGTGTGTTTTGGTATTGAAAGGACATTTGATTTTGTTCGATGTGTGATCCGTTAATGTTTTTTTTTTTTGAAACAGAACTTCTAAGCAGTTTTTTGTAATCCACTAGGTTTGCAATATGGATGGCACTAATAGAAGAGAGCTCCACAATAGCGACATTTTACACATATTTGGTTTAACTCTACTGGGTGAACATTTATACTGGACAGACATGCAGAGACGAACTTTGGATAGAATTAACAAAGATACAGGTAATACAGTTACATATTTAATAATATTAAATATATTTTTTTAAAGAATAAGGGTGACAAACGCTTAACACAAAAAACGTCGTGGAGTTACGAAAACCAGCCGGTGTAACAGTAAGGGTGACAAACGAGTACACAGTCCACCTTATAGCACAGAATAAATAATAGTACAAGAACGAAAGGATCACTCTCTGATAGCAAACTTGTGAGTTTAAACCTAGTTACAACGTCGCTAATGTTGATAATACTTTGCACGCCTCAGAAGCGACCTAAATGAAATTAACCTACGTCGAAACAAAATTAATACGGCGCGCGTATTAAATCAAAGCGCACCTTATGTCTGCGTGCGAGTGTCTGTATCACTTAGCCCGTTACGCGCCTTTGTTAAGGCCGTCCCTACTGTAGGGTTAGGTGTTGTGAGTTTGAATCCTTTGATATTAGTTGGTATATACTAGAATATACCGAGGTATTATGCAATGTATTCCTATTTTTTATTTTGTTAAAAAACAAACGGTACATAAATTGCACAAGGATAAACATCCGGAGCCCCCCCCCCCATAACATGGTAGCGGAATTCAAAAAGAAAGGACTATCCCAAGAGGGTACGAGCACCTCTGGTAATGGAGAATCCCTTACTGAGCATCCTCGGTCAAGCTACCCTCTTCTTCCTGAGCGTGGGTACTCAGGCTGCCTTGCGTAATCTGGGGGGGGGGGGGCAAAATCCCGCTCTATACTAATATTGCACGGGGCAAACAGAGCGATAAAAACTATGGTGATCCTTGCCACGCTATCCGTGGACTTCTGCAGCATCAGGGGACTTCACCTGAATCTTAACGCCGTCCACTACCATCTAGAGACGGCGAAGTCGGCCTTGCTCTTTTTGACGGAGACGTTGATGTCCTCTCCGGCTGACCTACCTGCCCTACCCGGGGTACAAATTGGAATACTTCTTTGTGCCCCGGGCTGGTGTTTGCGTATACGTCAGAGAGGATATCTGTTCTCAACGCCTTGGCAGTCTTGATGGTATGGACCTTTGACTGTGCGTAGACAGCGACGACCATCCACGCGTCTACGGGTGCCTGTATAAGTCCCATAGCGGTAATGCCGACACAGACCGACTCATCTATCACGTCTAAATGGCTACAGATTTCTTGCTACAACAGATTCCATCCATAGAGATCGTGAAACTTGGCGATTTTAACAAACACCACGCCGAATGACTCGGTTCACGCTTAACCGATCATGCGGGGAAATTTGTTTATATGTTTACGACTTTGCCTTGGCATTGGCATATGATCAGGGGACAAAAGTTTGCGCGTTTACCGCTAAAAAGAACTTTGTCATATATCCTCAGTTTCAAGGCACTTCCTTGTTGCCTCAGCCAGTATCGGAATCCTCGGCGTCGACATATCGAGTGACGTGCAGTTTTATGTTCACTTGGAAGAGAAGGCCAAATTGGCCTCTAAAAAGCTTGGCGTGCTCAGCAGAGCGGGACAGTATTTCATGCCGGCACACCGCCTGCAACTTTACAAGGTGCAGGTTCGGCCTTACATGGAACACTGTTCCCACGACTGCGCTGGGGCTCCCCAGTGCCAGCTCCTTCCACTTAACCGCATCCAGCGCAGAGCGGCTCGAATCGTCGACGACAGAGTCCTTTCTAATCGGCTCCATTCACTGGCGTTGAGATGTCTGCATATTTTATCGCATCTACCACGGGGAGTGCTCTGAGGAATTGTTCGGGTAATTAATAATTCCAGCTGCTCAGTTTCACCTTCGCACATCGCGACAAAACTCGCGATACCATCCATACCATCTGGATGCGTCCACCACTCTGCGATTTAGGAGATGTTTTCTTCCTCGCACAACCTCCTTGTGGAATCGATTACAACCAGCGTTTTTCCGGACCGATACGACTTAGAGACCTTCAAGAAACGAGCCTACTCCTTTTTAAAAGGCCGGTAACGCATCTGCAATTCCCCTGGTGTTGCAGTTGTTCATGAGCAGCGGTAGTTACTTACCATCAGGTGGGCCGCATGCTCGTTTGTCCCCTCTCCTATAAATAAAAATACAAATACTTGTTCCGTGCGGGATTCGAACCCGCGGCAACTGCATTGCTAAGGTAATGTGTCACGGAGCCGTCACTTGTCTGTTTCACATTTTTTGCTATTTACAAACATGCGACACGCGACTTCATTATTAATGAAAGAGTGGCAATGAGAAGTGCTGTTATTTTCAATGTCTTTCTTTGATCGACCAAGTGTTAAACTAATAACCAGTATAAAATCCTGTTCTTGCATTAGTAGGCAATCATTAGTACTAGGACGTCTACTTACACTGAACGAATTTTTAAGGTCATTGGCATTATACGCGAAAAAATCGAAAACTTTGAAGCTGTGTTCGGGTCACTAATCAAATAATAAATCTGTAACAATAGGGTCATTAAGTAAGTACGTAAATCTAGATCTATCTATAAATAATAATATATTACCTTTCGGTATCCTTAGGAACAAGTAAAGAATGAAAAGTCGACATTCCTATTGTTATTTAAGCACCCTCATGCTATGCAGTACCTTTTGGCTTTTGAGAGGCCATACTTGAATAAAAACTCGAAAATAAATATCAAAGGTGGCTGAATACTTACGTATAAAAAAAATACGTTTTTGTTAACGTAAGGTGTGCATTAGATTGTGCGCGCGCGTGACAACCTCCCGGAATCAGGCCCATGTAGGGGGCCGTAGGTATATTTTCATGCCTAAAGTGCGGATAGAGATAGGCCTGCTTATAGTAAGTGGATGCTGTGACTCATAGATACCCACATCTACCCACGATTACGAATTACAAGTTACCAATAAAAAAAGAGTCCCTGGTTTTCTACACTCACTTTGAGGAACACTGCAGCAAAGAGAATATAACCACTACGTTTAAGAGGCGGGACTTTGTAGTGTTATGCTACTTACATATCATTTTACATTATTTTAAATTCATTTTTCCATTCTGTTTCGATTTTCTGCATTCACCTCAAAACTGGATATTTTACATCACCTTTGTTTCCATAGGATCCTGTAACGATTTTAAACCATAAGAACACAATAACAAATCATTTCTACTTCGTATTTTCACATTATCAGCACTTTTAAATTGGTGTCAATGGAGTCTACCTTTTTTCGATCTTTTAGCTAGTTTTCCGTAACTCGACAATCTTGGGCTTTGTGTGGGCAGCTGCGCTACCTTTTTTCCTATATCAATAATATCTCATTTTCCACTTAAATCTTACCGTTTTCTTATTATTAACCTAACCTAAAACCAAAATTTGACATGTTTTGTCATTGTTATTTATTTCGTTTCCATAGTAATTATATTCAAATTTGCTACCGATCTGTTGTTCCTATTTCGATAATTCCACATAAATACTCTTTTCTCTTGACCATTTACAAAAAATTTGCGTTTAATTTAAATAATTTTTCCGTTCTCTCTAGAAAGGTATAAAAGCCGAACAATCGGTGAAGAAAGGCAGTCTCGCTTCAGTTCGCGAATTGGAAGTATCTCCTAAAGGCCTTATCCCGGGGCCGCACTGCCCCGGGATAAGGCTTCTTAGGTCTTCTTAGGTTAGATTTATTATTGTCGCTACACGACAACTTCCATAGTAAAGGTAAATGCATGTAAGTACGCCAAGTTACACTACCAACATCAAGATATGACATTTAGTTTTGACAAACAGTGTTGACAACATTGATGAATTACAATAGTGCTGTAAATGTCTATCCTCGAATAATTTTATCGATATATTATTTATCGATATTTTTACATAATAAAAGTTGGATCTCTATACTGAATTATTTATTACAAATAAATTTTTTAACGTGCGGATTGAGTAAAAATGCCGATGAGGATAAGAAATCAATGTATTTTACAGACAGAAATTTGTAGTTATATCTACATTTAGGTACAAAAATATGTATAAAGAAAATATAAAATAAAAAACGCACTAATATACTAGTAATGAATTAAGTAAAAAATAAACGACGACTCCGTGGCGCAGTGGCTAAGCGTTTGGCTGCGGCATTGCAGGACCGAGGCTTCGTTCCCGCACTGAACAATTGTTGCTATGCTGTAAAATAAATAGTCTGCGTCTGGATGCTTGTTTTCAACGTTTGTTTTTTTTTAAGGGTAAAAATATTAGGTTTTTAACACTGATTGGATTAAATTGCTTTTATGTGTAACAAAATCGCTAGGCTTCTATACAGAGGTACCTATGTACATACTATTCGCAGAGATCGTTTACTAAGTGTCGCTTTCAAAATGAGTGCTCTTTATAGCTATAGTTTATAGATGAATCTATAAAAAAATTATTTATAACCAAGTAATTACAAATAACTTTGAGTTTATTTATATAATCGTATTATTTATATAATTCTTACCAAAATGTCACTTTAGAGGGATATTATCTTTTGCTACATATAAATGAAACCTAATTAACATACACATAATTGTAGAAGTTTAAATTAAGTCCACTGATGAAATAACAGTTCGTTTTAGTTGGGTTCAAATGCAATGTTTGCCACAAATATGTTTTAACATGTGAATCTTTTCAATTGGTGCATGTGCCCGCTATTTCACCCATTGCTTGCATCTGAAAAAATAATATAAATAAAATCACATTTTTATTGAACAAATAGAATGTTATCAGTCACAATTGACTGTGTAGTTTCTAAGTATAGTTCGTTTCGGATTGCCATACCATCGAACTGTCAGATTTATGAAATAGTGTTTTTGTATTTGTGCACACAATCGTACACTATAAAAACCTGTCCTACGTAGATGGATAGTACAAAAATGTACTCGCGTTAAATATCATATTACTATTAAAGTTGAAATCACCACATACCTTTCATCATCTAAGGGAAATATTGCTACAAAAGGCCTTTTCTTGTTATAATTTTTTCCGCTTCTCGCACCATTTAATTGGAAAGTTTTATAATGCATATATAATTTTTAACAATTCTGTAAATGAACAACGGCTCCTATAGCAAAATTAATAGCAGTCTTAATAAATAAAATATATACAAATATAATTGTTTGATTTGACATTTGAACCTATTTGATTTGACAATGTCGTTAATAGACATATTACGAAAAACAGAAAGAAGAGGTAACCGTCATTAAAATTTGACCCGTGTAGTACATATAATTTTTACTATGGAAGTTGCACCAGCCTGCACTGCAGCATAAAGCTGCTATTCTACGCTGGTATTCTGTGAGAGTGTGGTCCTTCTTCGGTAGAGCCCATTCGTGCTGCAGACATATTATAGCTGCAGCATGGTCCTACCTCATTATAACAAATTTTGACAATTCATTGATCACCATTACAGCCTATCACAAGTCCACTGCTGTACAGTCCTTCGCATACATTGACTCATTTACCATAATTGCCACTCTTGGCAAGCGGGTTAGCAACTACCGTTCTTATTATTTTAAGTTATGATCAGGAAGATGCTGCTACCCATCTGCCGGTTTCATTTCTATCTGTCGCCTCTTACGATACAGATTATTTATTACATTACACAATAATATAATAAATGTGAAACGGAATTCTTTTATAGAATTAGGGTGACAAATGAGCAGACATCTACATCCATCCTTGATTAAGATCAAAATGCAGATACGCTGTCACCTCTGAGGACTAAGCTGAAATGCTACGTTTCTAGTGAAAAGGGTCTTCTAGCATAGGGGTTCTCTATGCTCATCATATGAAACATAGCAGCATTAAGATGCTATTTTACGCTGGTATTCTGTGAGAGCGTGGTCCTACCCCGGTCGAACCGTCCCATTCGTGCTGCAATCATAATATAGCTGCCTATCAACAGTGTTTATTAATTTGATCAAATTTGAATATTTTTCTCAAAATTATATAGGACTTGAGAGACAACCTGTTGTGGAACAAATGGCGAATATGATGGGTGTAAAGGCGTTTCGTTTGGGCGAAAAACTAGGAAGTAACAGATGTAGTGATAACAATGGTGGCTGCTCCCATCTATGCTTCAACAGGCCCAAAGATTATGTATGCAGTTGTCCATTAGGTAAGTATCATAAAAATATATTATTTTAATATAAACCCTAATTCAGTCAAATAGAATTCAATAGGGCTAAACTTTTGGCAGTGGGCTAGGAATATCTCTTTCTTAATTTAAATCTGCAGCTTCCAACTCGAATTAGCAAGGATAATGTTATGCTTGTTAATTCAAGTTGGAAGCTGCAAAAAAGCATGTATATGATGGAATTTTCAAAGGAGACATCAGCAACAGAATTATGCCCGAATACTCAAACGCTATTCAATTTTAAGATGCCGTTAAGTCTCGTGATGTCTCTATCACTAAGTCAAAGTGACTATGACTATATATACATATCTCACTCTTTCTCCTATACACCTTGGTTGTTGTTAAATTTAGAAGTAACATATCTCCAACTTTCTATTTAATATTTTTCAGGTTTGGAACTACGAAACGACAGGAAAACTTGTATAGAGCCGGATGCATTCCTTGTGTACAGTCGGAAAAATATCATTGGTCGGATTAGTATTGAGAATGAAAATAATGACGCTGTACTGCCAGTGAAAGAGTTAAAAGAAGTAAGGTAGGTGTTAATATCACCCTGCCTCTTGAGTGGTGGAACAACCTGCTGGACATGTAGGGAGTTTGTTTAAAATAGTGTAGTTTTTTTTCAGCCCATCCACAAAAAAGACCCACATATGTCAGTTCGTGGAGGACAGTATAAAAACTGACATGATTCGTTGGTGCGTTTAGTAGATATAGCCGTTCAAAAGTGTGTTAATTTTCTTACAAAAAATGTTAAACGTCACCAAGATCATTATAAAATGTAATAATTATTCTGAAGCATAGAATTAAATTAAAATAAAATCAAAGCACAGATAGCTACTGTGTGTGGTATTATATAGTCCTAGAATCAGCCATCCCAATGATCATTGAATTTACTAAATCATGACACGTGTTTCAAAGGCAAAGTTGGGCTATCTATCTATCAAACGCACCAACGTCATGCAGGCAGACCGGCTCCATCCCATTCACATAAGTGATCTACATGCTATTAATACTAAATCAGCCATCCTAACGACACTCTAGTCAATCTGTTGTTGTTTTAGGGAATATACAGTCTTTATTTACCGAAATATTCAATAAATACTGCTTTGGCCAGGCACCTGGCTTTTTTCTTTTTTTAAGTATTTAAGCAAGATAATCCAATATCCCATCTCATTCCATGGGTGTCGTCAGAAGAGAAGTCCATCAAGCATACTGATTATCAAACATCAAACAACATTTTAGAAATGATTAAGCTCTATTCTTGAATGACCCGATCGATCCGTAAAATCCGCTGGCGGCAATAAGTTCCACAATGTGGTTGTGTGTTTCTTGATTTAGAAAATTCCTCGTAAAATGCGTGATAATAATGCCCTCCAGACCGAATTTCAGTCACTGTGGGCAGTTTCACTGGACACTAGCCATCTGCGTAGGACATTATTATAGTGATTATACTCTATTCCCCCAATCTCACATTCCTATGATACGGAAAACCAACACGACCGGGAGAGAGACCAGACGCAGGACCAACGGCTTGACGTGCTTTCCCGAGGCACGGCGGTTAAACACCGCTTACTTCCTTACTCCGGTCTGCTACCTGCTACTGAGAATTTTTGGACGAAAAAAACTCAATGACTGATTTTTTTCCCGACCCGGGATTCTAATCCGCGACGTCATGATCAGTAGTAGATCGTATGCGACCATTAAACCAACGAGGCAGATTTTTCTGTCTGAAATGGGTGTTAGCGGACTACTTTGGTAACCTGTAATATAATGTTAAAATAACATGTTTATGAGATAGCATTTGATAAATAGCAGTAAAGTACCATATAAATTTATTTAAGGCTTTAATTTTCTTTGTTTTATATATAGAGAAATATTTTACCAATGACATGAAATAGAAAAAGATATTTACAGGGAAATACTTTTGATCCAATTTAAAAAAAAATTATGTTTAAATTATAAGCAACACTTTAAATCTAAGGATCCTGGGACAGACATATTATGTGGGCCGCTATTTTTAATTGGCTAGATTTAGTTTAGCTAAACAGCTAAAAAAATTTGTTACGTAGTAAGTACCACCGTTTATCCAATCAATAAACGCTAAAAAAAATTGTTACGTAGTAAGTACCACCGTTTATCCAATCAATAAACGCTAAAAAAATTTGTTACGTAGTAAGTACCACCGTTTATCCAATCAATAAACGGTGTATTAAGGAGAATGTTTGGAAAAAATATTGTGGCCTCCGATTGATAGTAATATAGCCATCTCGAGAATATGCCAAATATAAGCGACGATGGGCGACAAGGAGAAGAACCATTGAACTATAAACATGTGGGTAATGTTTATTACTCACTTGAATAGTCTCTTACAATTGGCAAGTCTGTAAAACCGCCATATTTTATTTTCGTCCCTATTTTTATTTTTGCAGTGCGTTAGCAGTACATGTGTCCGGTGCTAAAATATACTGGTCAGACAGTAAAACGAAAACTATAAACCGTTGCGCCATTAACGGCTCTAATATGGAGAAGATTCTGGAGTGGATGGGATTAGTAGAAGGTATGTGTTCTTATCAAAGCAATAAAACATTTAAACGATTGCACTAATTGTTTTCCGACTTAGATAAAACATTGTACCATATATATGCCAACAAAAAAAAAGGATTTAACAAAATAATTTTTTCTGTCGTCCATACTTATCAACTCCTCATATACTGTAATTAATACTGCCATCTGTTAGTACTGGAATGATGTTTCCCTTAACATATATTTATATTAATACAAGTTTTTAATGCATAATCATATATACACGTGGTAGAGCCATGCTGCAGCTATATTATGGTTGTAGCACGAATGGGTCGGCCCGACCGGGGAAGGACCACGCTCTCACAGAAAACCAGCGTAAAATAGCAGCTTAACGCTGATGGGGTTTCGTATGGTGAGTGTAGAGAACCGGAGACCCTTTTTACTGGCAAAGAGGCATTCCATCTTAGTTCTCACGGGTGACAACGCATCTGCATCTTGAGTCTTTATTGAGGATAGATGTAGATGTCTATGGGTCACAGTAACCACTTACCATCAGGTAGACTGTGTGCTTGTTTGTCACCCGATCCTATAAAAAAAATATAACTATTTTTATATGATGAAATAAAGGGTATAAATGAAATATATAATTATTTATTATCTAACTTGTACTCTGCGCACTTTGCAAATGGCCTAGCCGAGACTCTACTGATGGAGGACAACAAATATCATCCTATATAAATAATTTTTTAAAAGAAGAATGGTTCGCGAGTGGCAACTATAGGACCCCTATTATTGCCAAGCTTGGAATTGGCAAATAACCCGGCAATCTATGAGGGGGAGGGGGGAGGGTTAATTGTATGAAGCAGTTAAGAGCCTCGCCTATGTTCTCACAACCTCGCTTTAGCGTGGTAAGTTTAGACAAATTTTCCAATTTGTGTGTGCCTCCGCAGTTGATGTGATTAAGTGGGGTCGCGGCAGCACAGGGGCTAAGCTAACCGGAGACCCTTTTTACTCCGGAGACCCTTGTTACTGGAAGCGAGGCATTCCATCTTAGTCCTCACGTGTGACAACGCATCTGCATTTTGATTCTTAATCGAAGGTAGATTTAGATGTCTATGGGCCACAGCAACCACTTATCATCAGGTGAACTGTGTGCTCGTTTGTCACCCTTATTGTATAAAAATAAAAAAGCGCACGCTGTTAATTTTACAGTACACGAGCTCCCCGTGTTCGATCCCTGCTTGCACCAATAAAATTGTTAATCACAATTTTGGGTGCTAATTTGCCACGTGCAGGAAAACATCGTGAAGAAACCTGCATGCCTGAGAAATTAACAAGAACTTTGCCAACACGCATCCGGACAGCGAGGCGGACATTTCCTTGCCCTAGAACTCTCTCTCTCTATCTCTCTCTTTCTCTCTCATAAATGAGAGGAAGCATGTACCCAGCTGTGAGACATATATAGGCTGTAATTTTACTTTACTATTGATGTGATATAATGCCATTAAGTATGTAATAGAAGTAATAATTATAATGTGGATTAAAATTGTAGCTATTTTATATTTAGGCTTAGCTATAGATTGGTCCGCACAGAACATCTACTGGACGGACACGGCCGCACAACGAATCGAAGTGGCGCGGCTCGATGGTTCCAGTCGCCGCACTTTGCTCTGGCAGGGCCTCAAGAAACCTAAGAGCATTGTGCTTGATCCAAAGAAAGGGTGAGAAATATAAATACATGCATTATAAATATACAGGGTTATTCTTCAAATAGTAGCCAATGTATTTATTTCAGTTCAAATAAATAAATTAATATATACCGATATTACACTTTTTGAAAACATGTGTATTTAAGGTTTCTATTTTTATTTGAAACTAGCTGATACCCGCGACTTCGTCCGCGTTGCTTACACACATCACTGAACACGTAGTGCTTATAAAAATAGTTGTTTCTTAAAAGCTTAAAACTTTAATAACTTTATATTAAAAGAAGATATCGCAATATTTTTTTAGATAAGGGCCAACAGTCTAATAAATAAAATTTAGAAAACCTAATTGAAATCTATCCAGTAGTTTTTTCCGTGATGTGCGCACAACTATAAACCTTTATCATTTTATTTATATACATTATCCCAAATTGAATGTAATTTATGAGCAACATCTATAAGGCGCTTCTGTGTGTGATTCAACTCAAGTTTTCGTTTCTTAAGTTTTTGCCAACTGTTTACGCTGTTATTATTTCTTTCTTTATAAGGATATTGTGAGCCTCTGTGTTGAGCAAACTGTATAAATGGCTTGTGTCGAGCTCGAGCACCTCATTATTGTAAGTGTTTATAGACCCCTATGTGCTACTTACGACTATTTTGAAAAGATTGTGGAAGAAGTTTTGCTCAGAATTAGTGAACAGAACAAGTCTGTTGTAATATGTGGAGACTTTAACATCAATCTCCTTGAAACTTTTCCATTAGTATCAAGTTCAGTTCATTGTTTAAATCGTACAATCTTGTTAATTTATTCTTAGAACCAACACGTATTGCTGGACCTAGAGCGACCTGTATAGATAACATTTTTCCAGATGTTAAGCCCTTGCATAAATCAATTATTCAAAATTTAAGTTCGGATCACTGTGGACAGTTGGTCTCATTGCCTTACATACACAAAAAAAAAACAGAAAAATAAGAAAGTTATGTTTGTTCCAATAAATGAACATCGCTTGGAGAGGTTTAGAAGCAATATAGTAAAAATACTTCCATCACTTTCATTTAAAAATAATGCGGATTATTTGTATGGTGCATTATTTAAAATTGTAAGCTGGGAATTTAGTAGAATATTTACTTCTAAAACTTTCTCTTTTAACAGTTGCAAATCATTTAATGAATGGGCGACAGTAGGAATTTATAAAAGTAAGCGAAGGTTTTACGAGCTTTATAATAAAAGATCATATAATCGTAGTGTTATATTTAGAGAGTATGTTGAAACATATTCTAAAATATTTAAAAAAGTGTGCTCCACAGCTAAGGCTTTACATTTAAGCAACAAAATTAAAACTGCATCCAATAAAATTAAAATGACGTGGACAATAATTAATAATAAAACGGGCAAGTTCAAACCGCGCAATTCGGAATTTCAATTGAATATTAACAATAATTTAACTCGATCTGATCAAGAAGTTGCTATGGCTTTTGAGAAACATTTTACTGATGTTCCTTTTTTGACAACAAAATCATTAACTTCTTTTCCTACTGTCGCCGAATCATTGCTTAAACAAAATGTAAAGGCTTGTTCAAATACTTTTAAATTCCTTAGAGTATTGCCAAAAGATATCGTTAAATATTTTAAAACTATTGATGTTAAGAAAACGGCAGACTTATGGAGGATTTACTTTAAAGTTATTTTATCTATGATAGATACTGTTTAGGCCCAAACTTGGTCATTTAAAACGCCATCCAATCGCGTTTGACTGGGCGCATCGCCCGACGGTGTGAGTTGACGTCCGCGACGCCGGGGCGGGGGGCAGCGGTATGCCACTTCCCGGCGTTCGGCCTCGTGAGTGCAAAGTCAGTAGCTTTGCAGCAGCGGTGCTATCGATTAGCGTATTTTTGTGACCGCTGCATCAGTTTCGCGCGACCAGATTTTTGGTTTTGTGGTCTAGAATTTGAGTATTTGTGCGCGTTTAAGCTTGACAGCAGCGGTGTTGTCGATTAGCGTATTTTTGTGACCGCTGCAACGGTCTCGCGCGACCAGTTTTTTGGTTTTGTGGTCTAGTATTTGAGTCATTGAGCGCGTTTAATTTGCTATTGAATTTGGGTCGTGTAGAGCGCCTCGAATTAGTTTGTCTAAGTTGTACGTTTCGGACAAGAGGCTTGTATTGAATTTGACTGATTAAAGTAAGTTTGTTGCAAGTAATTACGTCAATTGTATAGTGATTGCATGTTGAAGTGCATTTTGCAATATTTAACTTGCTTGTGTGACGTGGAACCTTGCGCGCACGCCGAGTGGACATATGGTCTTGAATTGAAGCTCGCATTCCATTTCGAGTGCGTGGCCCGGTTAATTGTTTTTGGAAGTTAAGGTTAAAGTTAAATTTAATGTTTAATTGTACTGTCGCGTTAAGTGCCTTTTTTGTGTTGTGAATGCATTTAGTTAGATACTATAACACCTTATCTAGCCACTTTATTTAATACAAGCGTCGAATCTGGTGTGTTTCCTGATTTAATGAAACATAGTAAAGTCAAACCTTTGATCCGGTAGTACATTAGTCCCCGTCAATTTTAGACCAGTTTCTGTACTACAAACATTTAGTAAAAATTATTGAAAAAATAATTTTAGATCAGATGTTAAGTTTTTTAGTATTAATAAATTGCTTCATAAAAATCAATTCGGTTTTACAAGGGGTCGCTCGACAACTGACGCTGGAGTTGAGCTTATTAAACATATTTTTGTGCATGGGAGAATTTAGAGGATGCTTTGGGTATGTTTTGTGACCTTTTCAAGGTCATCGACTGTGTTTACCATGAGATATTAATCAGGAAGCTACAATACGATGGTGTCAAGAACACAGCGCTTAAACTTATTGTTTTATATTTAAGTAATAGAACGCAGAAAGTTTTTATCAATGGTAAAAGTTCTTCCGGGTCACCTGTATTAATGGGTGTCCCTTAGGGCTCAATTCTCGATCCATTCTTATTTCTAGTGTTTATTGATGACTTACCTTTCCTTGTAGGGGATAATCATGATATAGTATTATTTGCTGATGATACTCCCTTGATTTTTGATCTTAAACGTCAATCATTTAAATGTGAGGAAGTGAATAATGTTATGTCAAAATTAGTGCATTGGTCTAACGTTAATAATCTTCATTTAAACGGAAAGAAACCTAAATGTATTAAATTTACAACATCGAATGATAAAAATCTGAATACCAATGTGTTTTTAAATGGGGAAGAAATGAGTCCTGTTGAATCCACTGTTTTAATACAAAAGAACTTGTTATTAGCAATTTTAAGTGCAGATTTATCAAACAGTGCTGAGCGGTGTATGAAAACATCACAAGAAATTCTGCATGTCTAAGAACGAAAAAAAATTTTTATGTGAAATTCGCCAACTCGCATTGAAACAACGCGGCGGACTAATTGATCCATAACCCTCCCAGAACCTCTCAAAAATGGGAGGAGACTTGTGTCCAGCTGTGGGACGTATAAAAAAATGTATCTTTACTAAATTAAAGACATTTTTTTAATTATAATTGGATATTCAAAATTCAAAATTGGAAAATAAAAACGTTTCATTACTGGTTATCGAAACTGCTTTATTTGCCGAATTGATTTTAAAAAGCTTACAGTAATACTATAGTAAATAAAAAAAGGTTTTATTCTGTTTAATTTTCAGGTATATGTACTGGTCTGAATTAGGCTCTAAAAATATAAAACGTGCCGCAATGGACGGTTCTTCACCAACAGTGTTCATTGAGCAAGTAGGTCGTGTCCACGCTCTAGCCATAGACTATGAGAGGCGAACAATTTACTGGGCTGCTTTGGACCCACCAGTAATAGAATACGCCTTCCTAAACGGAACTGGACGTCGAATTTTAGCCAGTAACATCTCTATGCCATATGCACTCACCTTGTATGGCGATCGTGTTTTTTGGGGTGATTGGAATACCGGTAAGTACTATTGTTAATTATTGAAAATAGCGTATTCTGCGGATTGTATTCCTTGTAATTTTGTCTTAATGCCTGCAATTAAAAATACATTTCCAACGCGATACATTCCGTAAAATTAATTCAATGTGTAGTATTCACACTAAAATAAAAAATCATTAATATTTATGTGCTGATATGTCAGTAATTACATTTCTTACTTTAATTAATTGAACATTTCAATTATTTAAAGTATAAAAGTTGGATATATATAAATACCGTGCTCGTCATTGTTGTGAGCATTTTTAAAATATTTTATCTAATAAGTTAATTGTAAATCTATTGCACGTCTGCTAAGGTTGATACCTTTATATTATGTCATCTTTATCTATTGTACACGGTAATGTAATAAATAAATTATTACATACAGTCGAATTGAGTACCTCCTCCTTTTTGAAGTCGGTAGAAATGGGTCTCCGGTTCTCTACACTTACAATACGAAACACAGCAATCGGAGCTACTATATTACACTGGTATGCTGTGAGAACATGGTCCCGTTCTAAGCTCCCGGTCTAGCCGACCCATAAGTGTTACAACCATTATATAGCTGCAGCATGACTCTACCAAGTAAAAAAAATATTTTACCGGTCTTTTATTATTGACGTTGTTAACTACCATTACCAATCGTAAAACCAGGTGTGGTCGAAACGGCATTAAAAAGGGACGGCAGCGAGCGCAGGAGCATCCACGGCTCGCTGGACTACATATCGGACCTGAAGGTGTTCTGGCGCGGGCGCGAGGCGGAGGGCGGGCAGTGCGGCGCGGACAACGGCGGCTGCGCGCACCTGTGCCTGCCGCGCGCGCACGACTTCCGCTGCGCCTGCCCCACGCACTACCGCCGCAGCCCCGACAACCTCACCTGCACGGGTACACTCACCGATATCATTCCACCGGTTAACGTTATCACCTAGGACAGCTACATGCGCCTGCCCCGCGCACTACAACCTCACCTGCGCGGATACACTCACACCGATGTCATTGCTTTCAGCAGGTTTACTCCGACAAATATCTGCACCGGTTAATATTATCGGAAAGAGAAAGAGAGAGAGGGAGAGATGTGTCAGGTTTTTACCAAACGGAAGTTGGTAGTCTGTGCCGTTAGTTTATCGTGTAATAACTGTGTAAGAATATCCACTAACCCATGCGTCTTGTAGGTGTCGTAAGAGGCGACAGTGGGAAACTGAACCAGGAGATGGGCAGCAACATCTTCCTGACAACAGAATAATAATTATAAAAAACTGCGGTTGTCAACCCGCTTGCACAGCGTGGCAACTATGGCAAATATCCCTCCTATAAGACGATCTATGGGAGCAGTCTCTAGTTCAGGTGTGAATTTTTCTTGTAAGGTTTTTTTTATAGGAGAGCATGCGTCTCACCTGATGGTAAGTGACTACCTCCGCCCATTAACATCTGCAACAGCAGAAGAATTGCAGATGCGTTGCCGGGCTTTTAAAAAGGAGTAGGCTCTTTTCTTGAAAGTCCCTAAGTCGTATCGGTCCGGAATAATCTTATATATCGGTGCGGAATAAATCATATAGTTTATGTATGTATGTATATAACGTTATCACATAGGATGACTAATCCAATATCCATTGTGTTACATCACCATTTTTAATAGGATAAGGGTGACAAACGAGCACACAGTCCACCTGATGGTAAGTGGTTGCTGTGGCCCATAGACATCTACATCTATCTTCGATAAAGAATCAAAATGCCGATGCGTTGTCACCCGTGAGGACTAAGATGGAATGCCTCGTTTCCAGTAAAACGGGTCTCCGGTTCTCTACACTCACCATACGAAACACAACAGCGTTAAGCTACTATTTAACGCTGGTATTCTGTGAGAGCGTGGTCCTTCCCCGGTTGAGCCGACCCATTCGTGCTACAACCATAATATATCTGCAGCATGGCTCTACCACGTAAACCTATTGTACACGCCCCTAGTTGCCCCGACAAAAGCCGACTATCCCGGGGCCCATCAGCGGAACACTCGACGAGTGGAGCCCAAATGGCCTATGGATATTGTTCTAAAACGGCTGACAAATAAGCAAGCAGAACTTACTGATTTCCGGAGGTAGGGTTGACCACAGGGTACCTGACAGGTGGTAAAGTGAGGTGTATGTAAGTAGTGTGTGATAGTGTGTATCAATGTAACCTGACATCCCCGATATAGTCGGACTGCAGATCCACAGGCGCTGCTGTTCTCCAAATGTGCGATCCCTCCAAGGGGCGTTCACCAATTGAAACCTTCTGCTTTTATTTTCACTATATTAGTTTATCAACTTCTATTGTACATTTAATTAACTTCATTGTCAACCAAATCAACGTTCATCGAAATCAAAACAAGTGACACACTGCAAAACTTAACGACTGTCGGTCAAGGTTCAATGTCCCAGGTTCACTTAGCACAAAATTATAAACACGAGCACGAATGCGGTCTCTTCTCGAGTCACAAAGTTCAGAGTTCTACACAACAAGGCAAAATTCCTTAGCACGATATTAAATTGCCACCAAGCAACTCGTCGAATCAAATTAATGTCAATCAAGGTTAAGTTAATAATTCAAACTCAATACAAGCCTCTTGTCACGAAACGTACAAATTAGACAAATCAACACGACCAATAATTATATGAGATCAGCCTCTTGACACATAAAACTAACGAAAATAGACAACACACAAAAAACGCACTTAACGCGACGTTACAATTCAATATTAACTTCCAAAAGCAATTAACCGGCCGACGCGCGACAAAATCTTTTCCATACTTTAATATAAGCCTCGTTATCACTAAAAACAAATTAAGATAACGCCGTAGGAGGCATGCGACCGACCGTCGCGCTTTCACTAGCCGCTCGACAATACTGCCCGACAAGGCCGCGGCTTTTTACACACTGTTGCCGGCCCACGCGGTCGAATTCCGGGAAGCGGCGCACCCCCCCCCCCCCCCCTCCCCTCCGGCGGCGTTTACGTCACCTTAATACCATCGGATGACGCGCCGGGTCAAACGTTATTGGATGCAAATTTCAATGCCCATATTAGGCCTAAACACCTATCTTTTATTATAGCCTATAAAAAGTCCTCTGTTGGACATAGGACTCCCTATACATTGGAAGATATTTATCTTAGCCTCCACACACACTTAAGGGGTGGACTGGCACTGATCCGCAATTTTTTGTTTTCTAGTTGTTATTAAGAAAACGTCACTGCCCTGCTAAATTTTGTTCTTTCTTTCACAGAACCAGAAGAATATCTTCTGTTTGCACAAAAGAATGCGATAGGACGCGTTTTAGTTGCGGCCGGCGAGTGTAACGACGCTTTTATACCATTGACTGGACTAAAGAGTGTCAAGGCAATCGAATATGATCCAGTAAATAAGCAAGTAGACCTTTTGTTAATTTATAAACTTTCTATCTATAAGGATTTATATCTAATGGTTTGCTGTATTCAGGTCTTATAATGTTATATCATTTTGAAAAGACATAGTAAATAGTTACTAATAACTTGATTCAAATTACATTTTTTCAGAAATCTTTACTGGATAGACGATGAGTCCCATGCAATCCGTCGAGTGCCCATTTCTTATTCGACTACATCAGCCATCACAGATTCGACTCCTGTTATAACCGGGCTTACAAGGCCCTTCCACATGGTTTTAGACGTGATAGGACAAGCGTTGTACTGGACTTGCCTAGACAGTGACTCTATCAACGCAACCTCCATAGTAAATGGTTCATTAACAGGAGTAATTTTAAGAGGAGAGAAAATGATGCCAAGACATTTGGGTTTTCATCAAACCAAGCGGTGAGTGGAATATAATACAGAGGTTATGTAGTTCACTATGATCTCATTCTTGTACTCAACCAAATCTAAAAAATACGTTTTGACAGCTGTCAGACTTATTGGACTAGGGATGCCAACCAAAACATTGGTACGTGCAATATTCGATTCTTTAGAAAAATCGATATCAATTCTTTAAATTACTCCAGCTATCCTCTGAGGTAAAATATTTAGGTCTTACCTTGGACAGCAAACTTAACTGGAATAAACACATAGAAAACAAAATCAACAAAGCTAGTATAACTTTCTGGCAATGCAGAAACATGATTGGCAAAAGATGGGGATTGACGCCAAAAATCATACTGTGGCTTTACAAAACTGTAATTCGGCCCATGATCACATACGGCGCTCTGGTATGGTGGACCAAGATAAATGAAGCCACCATAATTAAAAAGCTTCAGCGCTACCAGAGACTGGCATGTATGGCTGCTACTGGCTGCATGAGAACTACGCCAACAGCAGCCTTAGAAGCGATGCTGGAGCTAACTCCGCTTCATCTACATATACAACAAGAAGCGACTTTAGCTGCCATCAGACTCAAGACCCTAAATCTTTGGAGTAAGAATAGTGTCCCTCATACAGGCATAATTGATAGAATTCACTCAAAAATTCCTATCCTACAAGCCAAATACGATAGGATTCCTAAACAATTTGTTTTCGATAAGAAATACAAGATACAGTTAAATGAAAACAGCCAGCCGGAAGGATTAAGCCCAAAAGAGCTTAGAATTTTCACCGATGGTTCTAAAACAAATGAAGGTGTAGGTTGTGGAGCTTTCTCTGAAGACCTCAATATTCACATATGCACACCGCTGGGTACCTATAACACGGTCTTTCAGGCGGAATGTATGGGTATCATTCAAGCGGCCATAGCAATAGATGCTAGGAAGGTTAATGACTTCCCCATCAGAATACTGACCGACAGTAGGGCGGTACTACAAGCCCTGAGATGTAATGTGGTGAACTCGGGACTAATATATGAATGCCATCAACGATTAAATGAGGTATGTAAAAACAACAATGTGACCCTGCAATGGATAAAGGGACACAGTGGATCCAGAGGCAACGATGCAGCAGACGAACTGGCCAGAAGAGGATCGGCTTTGGCCACTATAGGGCCGGAACCAATCATACCAATCCCCTTTGGTAACGTTTGTTCACTGGTACGTAGACACTTCACAATTCAACACGCTCAGCTTTGGAAAAATCTAGTAGACTGTAGACAAGCTAGGGATGCCCTGCCTGAAATTAACAGTCACTTAACAAAAGTTTTAATGAGACTGAACAAGCCGCAGATTAGGATAGTAACAAGTGCTATCACAGGACACGGCACCTTTAACAAACATTTATTTACTTTACTATAAAAGACAGGATTTTTGGTGTATGTATTTGATTACAGTCGACAGCAAAGTATAGCCGAATTTAATCTTAATGATTTGTTAGATTCAAATTATTTTTCTTTATTAATTTCAGTATCAGTAAATTTAATTTCATCTATGTGGTTACCGTGTACTCTATTTGGAAAAGGTAATATTTGTAGTAGCATCTTGTACGCATACAACATGATATGATTTGCCCCAATTCCTCATTAATGAGATGTGATAAATGGTAATTACTTTTTTTAGAATTCTCTGAATATAACAAACAATTTTTTATCGAGTTTAGACATGACTTCTAGTTAAACTTTACACCTCAGAAGTGGTCATTATTGATTTATGCAGAGACAGAGATAGAGGTTGCTCCTAATCACGAGCTTCTGAATTTAAAAAAATCTGGTAATCTGCCTCACTTTAGTCCTAAAAAGAACAAAAATACTATAACATATAATTTCATAAACTTTTAAAAATATCGTGTTCTGTTAAGAAAGTTCATCAAAGATGCATAGCGTAATTTTAATAGAAAACGTTAAATATAATTAAAGTCAATTTAAATATATAACGTCAAATTAAACTTTATATCGAAACTTAATTTTAAAGTGAAGATAACGCATAAGTAATTAACTGAAACAAAACTTACATCTGTTATTTATAATACGATCGTTGCTGAAAGATGAAAAAATATGAGGGAGTACGATACAAGGCAGTCGCGTCTATGCAATGAATATATCGTTCATGTGTCTAAAAACAGAGGGCAGCCGTACAAAGTTGGGTGCAAGCAGGGTAAGGGCAAGGGGGGACATTACAAAACTTGGTTTTAACCGGTTAATTCTTACTACCTAAACCAAAATATGTGGAAAACCGGTATTCCGTAAAACCGGTTTTGGGGACAATGACCGAAACCGGTTTTGGGGTTTTGACCGAAACCGGTTTTGGGGTCAATGACCGAAACCGGTTTAGAATTTGAACCGGTTTCCGAACCCTGGTTATTACTAATAATAACTTAATATAAAAATATTTTGTGTTTGTGTGTTGTGTTTGTCTTACAAAGTGTATACGAAAATAGTATGAATATAGTAGATGGCAACACTTGAACAGAGTAAAATATTTTAAGTCATTTGATATTCCCAAAAATGTTTGTTTTTTTTCTGTCGCTTTAATTAAAATACATTTTTATTTGAAAAATCATAGAAAAATAATAAAACTCATATATAACTTATTTCTAGACGCAATAATTTTTGTCAACTATTTTTCTACCATTGTTCTTTACACTGACGAAGTAGGAATTTATGAAATAAATAAACTTGTTTAATTCGTGATTCATATAATTTAAGCAATTCTAAAAATAAAATTTAAATAAACAAATAATAATTTTTAAATAAAACTAATTTTACGGATTTTATCGCGTATATTAACTTATTTTTATATTCCCGACGTTTCGGGGGCTTTCCAGCACCCGTGGTCACGGGGGACTGAGTTGTTTGACGTCCTGCTGTCATAGTTAGCCCGGCTACCTTCAGCCGGGCTAACTATGACACCCGAAACGTCGGGAATATAAAAATAAGTTAATATACGCGATAAAATCCGTAAAATTAGTTTTATTTAAAAATGTGTAGTGTTCGCGTAAATATAAGAAATCATTAAACAAATAATAAATTAAATCATTTCATGATTCGATTAATTGAACATTTTTATCGATTATTTGAATATTTTTACCGATTATTCGCATAACAATGAATTTTAATCATTCAAACACTACGGTAAGGTACATAGCGATATATCATTGAAACAACGTCAGGCAAAAAAGTTGACTCCGGTTATTTTTTCTATATTTTGCTTTTTCTGAAAGATTCGAACTTGAATTAGTGATAAAGAACTATATATGTTGTAAAGAAATATAGATAACTACAGAATTCTTTGGATTTACGTAAAAGGTTATTTTAAATCTTGTGAGTACGCTTGTACAAAGTTATTGCGAAATGATTAATGTGAAACGTCAAAACGTATTTCTTAGATTTGGTTGAGTATAAAACATATATTAATGATGCAATAACAATTTGAATTAAGTATTGTACATTACAGCTGTTTTTTGATAGAAAAAGGATGACAAACGAGCACACTTGATGATGGATGAAGTGGACGCAGTGTCCCATTGCTATTTACATATATCCTTGGTTAAGAATTAAAATGCATATGCATGTCGCCCTGAGGACTAAGATGGAATGCCTCGTTTCCAGTAAAAAAGGTTTCCAGTTATCTACTCTCATCATACAAAACACAGCAGCAATAAGCTGCTATTTTACGCTGGTATTCTGTGAGAGAGTATTCGTTCCGTTTGCGCCGACTTATTCGTGCTACGACCATAATTTATTTGCAGCGTGGCTCTTCCACATAATAATTTAACAAATCCAAAATTAACATAAAAAAACTGCCAAACATTAGTGCATCCACTGTCGTCTTCCGGATTGAATGGTAAGAGAGCTACTATAATTACCGGTTGTGAGGCATTTCATCTTAGTCTTCAGTGGTAGCAACATGTCTGTGGTCTTCGTTGTTTGAAGTTGTAAGTGTTAATGAGCTGCAGCCACTTACCATCAGGTGAACTGTGTGCTTGTTTGTTACCCTTATGCTATAAAAACACGTGCGCAGTTTATACCCGGTAGAAGCGAAACCATGAAATGAAATGAAATATAAAATAAAAATATTTCACGACAAATTATTTATTTGATATGATAATTTTCAACCACAAGTGCGGCATAAAATAATATAAAGTTTGATTTTATAGCAAATTAATGTTAAAATCTTTGAAAAGGACGGGGAGAGCCAGTGGACTATAAGAATTTAAATTGATTTGATTGACTGACTGACTGACTAAGAGACTAATGTGGACTGTATGATGTGACTGTTCTATTAAAGAAAGATGGGACGACTTAAGAAACAATTTATTCACTATTTACAATAATTGCGACAGTACAATATTATTTACACTAATTAACTATTAACTAAACTATAGGGAGCACTATTTGCGCTAGAGGGATTTTTCCTGATTATTTCTTTTCTTGAGTAGAGCTCTTCTTTGCTGCGAGTGAATTGAATGAATTCATAAATTAAATTCATGAGTGATGATAGTTCTTCACTGCTGGATGTACGAGGAAGCTTAAGGTCGCTGAGCAAGCAATGAAGAAGGGTACGCTCGGGTTTTCTCTGCATGATAGACTTAGAAATGAGGATATCTGCAATAGAACCAGAGTAATCGACATAGTAGTAAGAGATTAGTAATCTGAAGCGACTTTGGCCCAGTCATATAGCTCGTAGAACCGACAACCGATGTAATAAAAAAGTTCTCGAGTGGTAGCCTCGTATCGGTAAGCGAAGTGTAGGGCGGCCCGCACTAGGGTGAACGACGTCCTAGCAAGATATGCAGGAAGTTGATGGATGCAGGTGGCCCAGGACCGTGCTTCCTACCTGGCATTCCTTGGAGGACGCCCTTGTTTAGCAGTGGACTTGTCAATTGCTTGTGAATGATGATGAGTGATTGTGAGTCAATAAATTCTTTTTGTTCACATCCTGTATGCAATGCATCGAGTAATTAAGTAATGGTCTATAAATGTCCCACTGTATAGTACTTTTTTCAGAGTGGATAGAAATGCAGTGAAGAGTCCGCAGCGATTATGCGTGTTGATAATATCCACATGTCCATGAAATATAATTGTTTCACAAACTGCATGTTTTCGCAAGATGTTTTCCTTTACCACAGAGCATGACATCCATCACACTTTTGTATAATAATTCAAATATAATGTATATTATGTTGAATTAATACGCGGCCACTACACGCCAAAGAATATTTTACATAAAATATAGAAAGAATATAAGGTAATCTACTACCCTATATCATCACGTGGAGCTGGGAGAGCCTATGTTCAGCAATGGGTTTTTAGGATGTAATGAATGAGAAATTCAAAATAAACATTACTCCACAGACTACTAGTATGGAACGACGTGGGCTTGGGCGCGATAATGCGTGCGAGCGTGGACGGAACCTCCCGCGCTGAGCTCGCCGGAGCCACCAACGCGACGGCCCTCACTGTCGACCAAGCGTCCGGTACAGTGTACTGGGCGGTTAACAGACAGATACACGCTGTCGACTTAGATGGAACTAATAAGTGAGTACACTGTTTTCATTAGATCACTTTTTTACCTACCCCACCTTGTGGTTTTTTTAAAAATACTAGTAATGCTATTAAAATTTACTAATATTTCCTTTAACCACTTCTGGTAAGCTTAAAATGCTTGTGTTAGAAGTGGTTCACGACAGTAGTCGAATGAGGGATTCGAACCCACGACTTTTAGAGTTCGCGGTCTGCGTCCTGCCATTAGGCTACTGTCGCTTCTAGGTAACTTCACTGGTGGTAAGTATTGATGACGCCCTAGATGGTAAATCGCACTGTCGTAGCGGAGCAAAAACCTATTCACTCTTGCCTTGAAGACACCCAGATTTTATTCGGACGAAAAGACAGACGCCGGCAAATTATTCCCTTCCTTCGTTGTATGCATTACGAAAGACAGCTTCATAGCTTAATTTTTTTTAAAAAATCTGACAACACCGTCGTCAACATTTGGCGATTATAATATTACCTGACGACCACCTACACCGCGTGTAATGCCATGGAAGTTTAGGGAAACTTCCATGGCAATTAATTTATACATACTTTTATTTTAATTTATTTTCATAGGATAATGATTTTATTTGTTCTCTAAAGAGGATTACATGAACAGAATTATTTAACGACACCAAAAGTACCTTCACGCCGCGGACAGGGTTTTTTACATATAGCATTAATAGCGGCTCGAGTCGTGAGTACCAAACATAGCAGCATTTGCAAAATACTGCTGGCGAATTCAATTAATGACGAAGATTAACTAACGGACCAATCACATCAAAAATGTTCACCGTACCCGCCCCGCGCCCTTGCTCTTTTTTCTAATTAAAACTAGCCTCACTCTTGACCTCCACCTGGTCCGAATGCAGTGATGAGGGCCACGATGGAGCGAATTTGCCCAGGACGAGCCTGTTAACACGCATCTTGAAGAGGTTAAGGTTATATGCACTCGGAAAAACAGATGCCGGCAGGGCATTCCACACCTTAGCTGTGCGTATTATGAAAGATGACTTATAGGGCGTAGTGCGAATATTGGGAATATCAACCAAATGAAGATGGTAACCTGTAGTACGTCTTGCATTCCGATAGGAGAATGAAGGTGGTTGTATGAGCTTATGAAGCTCATGGACACACTCTTCGAAGTACAATCTGTAGAAGACCAACAAACAAGCAACTTGGCGGCGGTGAGCTAAGCTGTGAAGCTTAGTTTACACCAGGTTTTTGTCGCCGATGAGCCTGTTAGCTCTGCGTTTCACTGAGTCGAGTGCGGCAAGTTGATAATTCTGATGAGCCATCCCAAAGGTGACTACAATGCTCCATACATGTTCGAACTTGAGCTTTTTATAAACTTAGAAGCTGTCCTAGAAGGCGTGAAGTATCGCTTCACCTCGTTTAAAATACCCAGTTTTTTGGCCGCAGTTTGTGCTTTCGACTCAATGTTGGCGCCAAGTTGAGGTTAGCAATAGAAGCTCGAGATGATCAGTAACCTCTACATATGTACCTCGAAAATAAGCAGTCAGATCAAACGGACTCCGTTTTACGGAGAACAAACAGACCTGCGTTTTGGCGGCGTTGAAAAATGACCAGATTTTCGTCACCCCATTGGGATACGAGACTTAGACCTTGACTAAGATCGCATTTATCCGCTTCACCATGGTCTCTCTGAGTACGTATAACTGTCCCTCCGTCTTTTGCACTGGACATGAATCTTTCTGTGACTGTGCTCTCATCTGCATACCCAACAATACCTGGTAGTAGTAGTCATTGATGTGCAGCAGGAAAAGAGTGGCAGAGAGAACAGACCCCTCAGGAACTCCAGCATTAATATGCATTAGGTCAGAAGAGCAGCCATTTATGACCACCCTGATCAACCGTTCACTCAGAAAGTCAGATATCCAGTTGCGAAATTCGGCGGGGATGCCGTAAGCAGTAAGCTTACTCAGCAGACTTGCGTGCCAAACCCTGTCAAAAGCCTTCGAGGTATGTATCGAGTGAAGCTGCTAGAGCTTCACCGTTCTTCTCGATGCCCTTGCCCCAGAAGTGCGTGACATACACAAGAAGATCCCCAGTGGACCGTCCCTGGTGGAAACCATATTGATTGTCACTGAGGAGGTCATTTGTTTCAAGGTATGTCAGCAGCTTATTGTTCAATACCCTTTCCATAACTTTAAAGAGTATGAAGGTAAAGACGATTGGTCGATAATTACTGGTATCGTCATGACTACCTTTCTTGGGTATTGGTTGCACATTGGTAAGCTTTCAAGATTAGGGAACCGTTCAAATTTTAAGAGAGTGACGCTACAGGCGCGTCAGAACAAGAACAACTTTGGTGCGCAATGTTTTAGTACCCTTGCAGGAATACCATCAGGTCCACTGGCCTTGTTTACGTCTATATTTGCAAAGCTCTACGTACTTCGTAAGGATTGTGACCTTTGGCATCGATGGATCACCGCGAGGTAGGGTTGGCGGTTGTTGAGAGCCAGCACCTAGACCAGAATTGCTCACAAACAGAGATGAAAATAAACTTGCTTTCTCAATCGCGGAGTGAGTCAGTGTTCGATCAGATTTCTGCATGGGAGGCAATGAGGGATTTTGGGGGATGTAGCTGCCCGCGTCCGTAAGAATTACTTGAATCCTGATTCCCTGCACGTATCCCCTGGGTAGTGCTAAACGATCAGCACTACATACTGGTGGTAGGGTTGGCCCTCTACTAGTGAGAGGCCCAGCCGAGGGTTATTTATCATCCAACTGGCAAAGATATACCGCCAAATGATGCAAGTCGTGTTCCGGTATGATGTTAGATGAAACCCATTTCTTAGGGAAAATGGGTCGGGACAGTTGCGTTACGCAATCGAACCGTTTGCGACGCGGCCCTCTCTTAATGTCAGGTGCCTGGTTATTGAAGTTAGCGGGGTCCGAAGCACGGTTGCACCGCTAGCCGACCGTAGATAGTTGGGAGCCCAATTAATTAGCCAGCCACTCATGAAAAGCTGCCCCGTCATCTTACGAAAAATCCTGGGATGGCTCCACCATGCCGGTTGGCGACCGGAGGAGAGGGGCTGGTGGCGATTTCCGGGGGGTTTCGGGCGTCCCTGCGATCTCCATGCTAGGTACCATCACACATAGGTTATATGTGTGACGTCTCGTCCAACTGCCATTCTCTGAACCTATTCACTCCGCCATTATGAAAAAAAGGAAAAAGAAGAGTAAGTTTGTACAGCAGTTGCACTCTCTCCATTAAAGTGCACCTCACAAACATCCGAGGCCTGTACTATAATCTCTATGCAATCCACTACCACCTTGAGACTGACAAGCCGCACTTACTCTTCTTGACTGAGACGCAGATCAGATGTCCTCTAGATGCGGCGTACCTTGGCTACCCTGGGTACACACTGGAGCATAATTTCCATCAGCGCGCCGGAGTCGGTTTACGTCTGCCACGAGATCTGCTGTAAGCGTCTCCGTCACCTTGAAACCCCGCTTTCTCTACGATCTGGGTATTGATAGATAGAGCAATGGATAAAATTATTTATTCTTGTGTCTACTGATCGCACAGCGTTGACCAAAAGACAACTAGCCTATTTGAACACCTCGGTGAAACCTCTGATGTGGCGCTTAATTCGGTACCCTAATGCAGTTGGTTTTTCTGGGGGACTTGTCATCACGACTGGCTGTTCGAAGCTCGAAAGCTCGCCCATGGTTCAAGTGCGTTCGTGCTGAAAACCAAAGCATTTGGCGTACTTATCCTGGCCTTAAGAGAGCCTTTAATCAAGCCGCCAAGTCCTGAAAAAAGGCATTACAGCATGCCAGTTTCGACCGCAGTAAACGCATCGGTACAAAGCTCTCTGACAAACTTCTATCGGGCAACACTGCCTCCGCTTGTAAAACCAGATGGTTCACTGGCGCATGCGCCTACGGAGAAAGCGGACTTATTTGCTTCTCTTTATGCTTGCAATTCGCGTCTGGAGAGTAGCAACAGCGTACCATCTCAATTACGTCACTGCGATACCTCTATGTCAGAGGTCCAATCAATCCAATCACCAAAAAGGAGGTTCTTAAAACCTCGCGAAGTGTAGACGTGAACAAAGCTAGTGGTATACTAGCTATAGTTCTAATGGTCTGTGCACCTGAGTTGTCTCCTGTGTTGACACGCTTGTTCCGCCTTTCAGGACTGGAATAGTAACCAAATCATGGACGCTGGCCAATGTGCAGCCTCTGCCTAAAAAAGGTAGCCGTACAGGCGCTGCCAACTATCGGTCAATTTCAATTACCTCAATATTCTGCAAAATTATGGAGCGTATATTGAACGCCCTCTCTCATCTCATCTCATGGCATACCTAGAGCAAAATGATCTCCTCGGTGATCGCCAGTACAGGTTTTGCCGAAATCGATCAACTGGGGTCCGTCTAGCGTATGCCACTCACATATGGGGTGAAGCCCTCGAAAACAGTGGTGAAGCACTTGCTGTTTCCCTCGATGTTTCGAAGGCCTTTGATTGGGTTTGGCACGCTAGTCTATTGGGCAAGCTTTCAGCGCACGGCTTATCCAATGGCCTGATTGTCTGGGTGAAGGACTTTTTGAGTGAACGGTCTCGTCTGCGGAGCTAGTTTTTCTTGGGAATCTTAACGCCCACCACAAAGAGTGGTTGTACCCATACGAGAAAATCGAACATGTTGGGAGACAGGCGCGCTAATTTGCGTTATCGCTATCGCTAACGTCATTGATGGCTGCTCATCTGATACTGTGACGGCTATCGCCGGTGTTCCTCAGGGTTCTGTTCTCTCCGCAACTCTCTTCCTGCTGCATATAAATAATCTGCTCATTCCCGGTATCTATGAGTATGCAGACGACAGCACAGTTGTGGAGAAATATAAACCAAGTGCCCGGGCCAGTCAAGATCAAATCCAGTCCGAAAGCGAGGCTATGGTTGAGCGTGTGAGTCTCACACTACAGGCAGTCTCCGAATGGGGCGATGTCAATCTCGTGAGATTCTCCCTCCAAAACACAAGCGTGCCTTTTCACCGCTAAAAGGAGGCTTACCCTGGTTCCTACTTTCCAGAATGTATCCTTGGAGTATACTGATCGTCATCAGTTGTTAGGGGTTGAATTTTCTCCGAACCTCAACTATAGACGGTTCATTGAGTCCAGAGCCAAAGCAGCCGCAACGAAACTGGGTGTCCTTGAAAGGGTGCGGCGGTACTTCACGCCGGCGCAGCTTCTTACCTTACCTTACTTATATAGGGCAAGTCCGGTCGTGCATGGAGTACTGCTGTCACATATGGGCTGGTGCTGCAAAATGCCACCGGCAGCGTTGGACTCAGTGGAGAGACGTGCTCATTGGTGACCTTGATTTGGTTGAAACCAATCTTGTCATCCTCGAGCACAGGCACAGACTAGTCAGTCTCTCGGTATCCTATAGGATGCATTTCGGTGAGTGTGCGCTGGAATAATACGCTTTAATACTCCCTCTCCATCCCACCATCGGAAAACCAGGCGGTCGGCGGGTCATCACGTCTTTGTTGTCGCATTAAAAACAAACGGGTTGCTTCGTCTTTTGTAATGCGTACAGCAAAGGAGTGGCATAATTTGCCGGCGTCTAACTTTCCGTCCGAATACAACCTGGGCGTCTTCAAGACAAAAGTGAATAGGCTTTTGTTACGCTAAGACAGTGCGATGTACCATATAAGGATGCATCACCACTTACAACCAGGTGGGATTGTGGTCAAACACTGGTTGACGGCAGAAGTTTGATTCGACAGCCTTTGACAGCGACCAAAATTGCTTATTACCAGGAGGGTATGAAGCAAGTCTGGCCTCTATACGACTGACATGGTCGAATCGTGCCCTGCGGGGAACCCGCTTGCAGGACTTGGTGGACAGAGTCAAAAGCTCTCTTTATCGTACGAACACTTCAAGCCCTAACTTTGCGATCTTGAGCTAGAATCCAGTCCCAGTAGGCGGTCTTTGCGGGCCTCAGGACAAGCGCAGTCCGCGTTATACCAGGGCAGATCCTTATGACCGAGGGGGATGTCGGAGAACAGAATAAAATACTCCATTCCCTGCCGTATCACATCCGCAACCGCATCGACAGAGCAGAAGGGTTTATCTGAAGAGAAGCACACTTGCCGCCATGGAAAGGATGCAAAAAAGTTCCGCATCTCATGCCAGTCTGCTGACTCGTATCGCCAAGGAGAGCCTTGAGCCCGCTGGACAGTCATCTGAAGGAGAGATGATCGATACGGTTTTCACCAGACAGTGATCGGATGATCCCAGCGGAGCTGAGACAGATATCGAGTGCCTGTCTGTCTGGGTCTGTTGTCAACAGAAGGTCCAAGCAATTGAGTGTACGTCCGGCAACATCTGGTACAAGCGTGCAAGCAAATGTCATCGCAGAAATACACACAGACCCCAGCACGCTTTTTAAACTTATGTTCAAGTTTGTAACCTGGGTAGTTGAGGTACGCCACATCAGACGGAGTTGCTGTCTGCATCTCCGTTAAGAAAAATAGGTGCGGCTTCTCGGTCTCAAGGTGGGGGTGGACCGGATCGAGGTGAGTGAGTAACCCTCTGATTTTCGTGAGGTGCACTTTAAGCGAGAGTAAGTGCCGCCGTTGATTTACCACGTTCTTTTTTTCAACCTTATTCATTTTGATTCGGGGTTTTTTTGGTGGGGAAACAGTTGAGAAATCGAGGCGCTGCTCAATATACCAATTGAAAACTCAAGAGCAGATGAGCAAAACCGATGGGGAACAAATTGGAGACCGCGGGACACCCGAGCCCCCTCGAAATGGCCATCGGGTCCTCTCATCCAATGACGGTGGAGCATTACGGGATTTTTCGCGAGTTGGCGGGGCAACCTTTTGCATGTGGTGGCTAACTACCTACGGTCGGCCAACGGCAAACCCGTGCCTCGGATCCCGCTACCCTGCAGAATGAGTTACCTTTATAGCTTTGCTCAGAAGTCCAGGCTAGTTATGAACGGCGCAACTGTTGGCCTTCTGTCCCCCAAAGGCACTGGTTCTCCCGCTCACAGACGGAACGCAGCGAGCTGCTTCGCGCCTGACTCCGACAGGAGGGTGGTAGGAAGCCAGCCGGCCCCTTTCGAGGCCTGCCCCCGCATTATGGAATCTTCAGCCATCACGATGCCGCTGCCTGGGGTGAACCGCTCTAAGATAGATCCCAACCACCCCGTAGCACTTCACTAAAGTGACCTATAAATTGACTGTTGCACATGGCTGTGCTCACGACTCGTGCCGCTACGCATTTTGTAATAGCGAATAGGCTGTCATAGATTCAATGTTGCGTTTGCAGACGCGTGGTTTGGCAAGGCGGGTGGGTGGGCGCGCTGGCGTCGTACGGCGGCGCGCTGTACTTGAGCGGCGGCGAGCGCGCGTTGATGCGACTGCCGCTGCACCGCCGCGACGCGCCCGCCGCGCCCGTGCCGCACCTCGCGCGCCTCGTCGCGCTGCTGCCCGTCGCCAAGGTACACAGTACTGTACGTACTGTGCGTATGGTGGCGCGCAGTACTTGAGCACTCCATCGCCGCGCCACGTCCGTGCCGCACCTCGCGTGCCTCGTCGCGTTGCTGCCTGTCGCAAAGGTACACAGTACTGTACGTACTGTACGTATGGTGGCGCGCAGTACTTGAGCGCTCCACCGCCGCGCCAGGTCCGTGCTGCACCTCGCGTGCCTCGTCGTGTTGCTGCCCGTCGCCAAGGTACACAGTACTGTACGTACTGTACGTGTGGTGGCGCGCAGTACGAGCGCTCCACCGCCGCGCCAGGTCCGTGCCGAACCTCGCGTGCCTCGTCGCGTTGCTGTCCGTCAGAAGTTTTCACTTCAAAAAGATTATTATTATTGTCATTAATAATATATAAAGTTAAAAATGAAATAAAGGAAATATGTGTGCGGTGCAGGTGGCGCGCGACCACCCGTGCTGGTCTGGCGGCGGCGAGGCGGGGGCGGGCGCGTGCGGGCTGGCGCCGGGCGCGTGCGGCGCGGGCGGCGCGTGCGGGTGCGCGCTGCGCTGCGCGCCGCCGCCCGCCTGCGCTCCGCACCACCTGCCCTGCGCGCGCGCGCCGCGCTGCATCCCCGCCGCCTGGAGGTACGTGCTCCGTGCTCCGTACTCCGCGCTTCGTGCGCCGCACCCTTGTTTCGTTTACCACTCGACACCAAGTGCTAAACGAAACAAGAACTTAATGCGAACAGATGTTGCATCTCTTTGTGCACGTGTATAACAACTGTGCTACTTACTTCGTCAAAATATGTTGGCGCACAGCGCAGTACCCGGAACATTAGAAAGTTGTTGTGTTGAGTTACCCGCAGAATGCAGAGGAGTGTTATTAAACACTTGTGGTATTTCAAGAATCTTATTTTGTATAATTTTTATAAACTGTAACTCCGCCACATTTAAAATTAGTGATAATGATAGGTAAATATTTTCTACGTTTATTTTACTTACTGGCCAAAAGGTGTTATTTTGACAGATAACTGAGTGTAAATGTGTTGCGCCATGGCGCATTTTTGAGTTAATGCAATGAGCCGGTGCAATGAGCCGGTGCAATGAACTGCGCCTGGGTTATTGAGGTAACGCAAGAAATTTCATTGAGTTCCGCATGTCTATCTCTTTGCGTATTCTATCGCATCTACCACGGGGAGTGCTCAAAAAAATTATTCGGACTAATTCCAGCCACTCAATTTCACCATCGCACATACAAAACTGGCGAAACAATCCATACCATAAGGATGATTGGCAGTCCACCACTGTGCAATTTACAACAAATTTTCTTCCTCACACAGCTTTCTTGTGGAATCGACTACCACCAAAGATTTTTCGAAACGATACGACTTGGGGACCTTCAAGAAAAGAGCCTACTCTTTTTTAAAAGATCGGCGGCCACGCTTTTGCAATACCCCTGTTGTTGCAGTTGTTCATGGGTGGCGGTAGTCACTTATAATCAAGTGAACGTTATGCCCGATTGCACACTCTTATATAAAAAAAATGATAATCAGGGCTTCCACAACTTTTTCAGCGTGTCGTGTCAAATTGCCGTCGCATGGGACAATAAGAGTGAGAGACTATTAGACTGTATCTGTAACTAAACCGAAGCAATGTAGTCAGCGTGCTGCCGTTGCAAGTTAAAAGAGCACATCTACATTTTTATTTATAAACTGAATTTATATAAGTATTCGGAACTATTAAGAAAAGGGCATGGGGACCTTGGCGGACTAGTTGCTCCATAATCCTTTCAAAAATGATTGTGTAAGAATAGGGAGTTTTGGCGGGAACTTAACCGGTGGCTGTTTGCTGCTCCTGTATTATTGTTTGAATAATCGTTTGAAGTGGATTTTGATATGTAAAAGTGGTGCGATTTTATGTATTAAATGTTTGCGCATGTGAACTATTAGTGGAAACGGTGAAACAAGTGCTCTGATGGTGATGTAATTCTAAGGATAAGGTGACTGTCTGCTTAGACGCCTTGAAATACCATCGCCAACTGTCAGCTGTCTGCTAGCTCAAGTTGCCGTCAAAATCTCCCAAGGGCTGCACAATGTGACGCATCAACATATTGTGAAGCAGTGTATTATGAACAATAATTATACATTATAACTTCAGGCTCAGAAGGGCTTAACCCAGAGCCGTGAAGCCAGTTATAAAAAAATCTTGTGTAACCAAAGTTGGTAAAGGTACTAACTTTGGTCGTAATACTCAACAGAAGTTATACTTAAAAATCTAATAGATAATACATCTTTTTCCGGGGGCCTTAAGGTCTTTTTAAGCCTTTCCCATAATTTCCTTTTATGACACCCACAGGATGATATGGAATGATGGATTCTCCTACGGTATTAAAAATATCTATAACATATCAGAATCTAATCACGGTTAACCCATTAAATTTAGTAGGACACTGATTGTTTTTTCCTAGGAGGCCATCTGACTATCTTATTTTTTCCACCAAGTCAAAGATGATAATGCATCTGTAGACTTCTTTGTTTGAAGTTGGTAGCCATTTACCATAAGGTGGACTGTAAGTTTGCCATTTTAATACTGTGAAAATAAAACATAGTTATTGTGATGTCTAAGAAATTATATGAAATTACATATGTAATTTATAATTTCATATAATTTCTTCATATATATGAACGCCTCCAATCGTTTAATAAGTTATTAACTAATTACATACAAGAGCTGTTATTTAAACATAAATAGACATGATTGAGGGCTTCGTGACGCAGGAGCTTAGCAATGAGTTGCAGCGCTGAGGGTCGTGGGTTCGAATCCCGATTTTTTTTTTTTTGTAAACTGTCTTCACAATACAGGAGGAAATCGTAGTGTAAGGGTAACGTAATAAAAAATAAGTGCAGCTCACAAGCGGATACAGTGAAACAGAAAACTAAACTTTAAAATTGCTTTGTGATAGCAATCTACTTCATTCTATAGGTAAAGTCATTTTATCGAAAAAAATATAGTTTAAGGCTGGCTTTTCACTATAGGATATAATATATATTATATCCAGAAATATAAATTATATCCCGCGATTGGCTTTCACACTGTGAGATATATCTTTTAACTAGTGTGCGTTCGTCATTGGTCATTGAATTACCCCTTTTTACCCCGTACACCGTTCTGCGGGGGCGCGGAACGGTGTGCGGGGTACAGGGGGCGAAATATAATATGAAAATATCGCTCTGTCGATCGAAAAAATATTTATAGCTTGAGATGTATTATATATTATAGCTCAGTGTAAACGGTTCCATATGAAATGTATGGTGAGCGATATTAATTTATATCTCGAGATGTAATATATATTATATTATATCCCATAGTGAAAAGCGGGCTTAACTGTCGAGGTGGTACGTAAAATCAACGCTCTTGTGTATTTATGTTTATCTTTTTTTAAAGTCGCTTTTTCGTTTCATCCAGTCTCAAATCACAACGAATCTGAAGAAGCTTTCACTTCAAAAATGATTGTTCAGATGTGACGGCACGGTGGACTGCCCGGACGGGTCGGACGAGGGTCCTGAGTGCGGGTCGTGTGCGGGTGGGCTGCGCTGCGCCGATGGCTCGTGCGCCGCCGCGCTCGGCGCCTGTGCCGCTGGCGCCTACTGCGCCGCGCCGCTGCCCGCCGCCTTCCGGTACGGCACGCACACATGCACAGCCCACGCAACACGCACGCACCGCTAGCCCTGACAGCTCCCGCACCGCACCGTACCAACACACTGTACATAGTCACACGCACGCACGCACCGCTAGCCTTGATAACTCCCGCACCGCACCGCACCGCACCAACAGCCTGTACATAGTCACACGCACGCACGCACCGCTAGCCCTGACAGCTCCCGCACCGCACCGCACCAACACCCTGTACATAGTCACACGCACGCACGCACCGCTAGCCCTGACAGCTCCCGCACCGCACCGCACCAACAGCCTGTACATAGTCACACGCACGCACGCACCGCTAGCCGTGACAGCTCCCGCACCGCACCGCACCAACACCCTGTACATAGTCACACGCACGCACGCACCGCTAGCCCTGACAGCTCCCGCACCGCACCGCACCAACACACTGTACATAGTCACACGCACGCACGCACCGCTAGCCCTGACAGCTCCCGCACCGCACCGCACCAACACCCTGTACATAGTCACACGCACGCACGCACCGCTAGCCCTGACAGCTCCCGCACCGCACCGCACCAACACCCTGTACATAGTCACACGCACGCACGCACCGCTAGCCCTGACAGCTCCCGCACCGCACCGCACCAACACACTGTACATAGTCACACGCACGCACGCACCGCTAGCCCTGACAGCTCCCGCACCGCACCGCACCAACAGCCTGTACATAGTCACACGCACGCACGCACCTCTAGCCCTGACAGCTCCCGCACCGCACCGCACCAACAACCTGTACATAGTCACACGCACGCACGCACCGCTAGCCCTGATAGCTCCCGCACCGCACCGCACCAACACACTGTACATAGTCACACGCACGCACGCACCGCTAGCCCTGACAGCTCCCGCACCGCACCGCACCAACACCCTGTACATAGTCACACGCACGCACGCACCGCTAGCCCTGACAGCTCCCGCACCGCACCGCACCAACAGCCTGTACATAGTCACACGCACGCACGCACCGCTAGCCCTGACAGCTCCCGCACCGCACCGCACCAACAACCTGTACATAGTCACACGCACGCACGCACCGCTAGCCCTGACAGCTCCCGCACCGCACCGCACCAACACCCTGTACATAGTCACACGCACGCACGCACCGCTAGCCCTGACAGCTCCCGCACCGCACCGCACCAACAACCTGTACATAGTCACACGCACGCACGCACCGCTAGCCCTGACAGCTCCCGCACCGCACCGCACCAACACACTGTACATAGTCACACGCACGCACGCACGCACCGCTAGCCCTGACAGCTCCCGCACCGCACGGCACCAACACACTGTACATAGTCACACCACCCCGAACACAAACACATAAGACATTAGCGTTGACCTGACAGCGCCCCCGGAGTTTGTCTAGTAGTACACATGGAAGTATTTGATGTGTACAGCAAGAGTTTGGAATAATTTGCCAACATCTGTCTTTACTTCCGATTATAATGTTCATGTTTGTCTTGAAGGCAAGCATCAATAGACAATAGATCAAATGGGTATAGACAAGATAAACTGTCTTGACAACCTGGACAAGACTTGACAATACACACTATCTCACGCTATCCCTCTCGAATTGCTCTCACAAGATAGAAGCGTATTTACATTGGTTCTGTGACTGAAGCCAAACTGGCGTCATAAAAATCATCAGTTGCCACATTGTACGGCCGGGGTTAATTTCTACTTCAGTAATATATAGATGGCTGCTAGACGGGATATGAAGCTGCAGTCTTCAGTAGATTTGACAGCATACAGGCAACGGAACAGACAGATCTGCAAATGCATGCGGCGGGACTTACGCAACTTTAATACTGCTCGTATTGAAGAAGCGATCGAGCGGAACCAGGGCTCCAAAGTCTTTGCTAGAGATTTGTCTGCCAGAAAGAGCCAACTGTCGAAGCTGAAGACCGAGTGTGGCAGCGTCGTTTCCGCTGAGATTTTGAGTGAGATTGAGAGGTTCTATGGGCAGCTATACACATCATCGTTGGAGCCACGCGTAAGTGTGAGTAACGATCCAAGAGCGAGTCTTATCCGACACTATTCCGATGATATCCCGGACGTCAGTCTGAGCGAGATTAGAATGGCTCTCCAGCACCTTAAAAACGGCAAGGCCCCATTCGAAGATAGAATTACAGCGGAGCTTCTAAAAGCGGGTGGAAAACCGGTACGTGAAGTCCTTCAGAAGCTCTTTAATTCCGTCCTCCATGGTGGCATTACACCGGAGGCGTGGAGCAGAAGTGCGGTGGTCTTGTTCTTCAAGAAATGTGACAACGCTCTCTTGAAGAACTATAGACCGATTTCCCTTCTGAGCCGCGTCTACGTGCTGTTTTCGAGAGTCATTACGAATCGTCTCGCGCGCAGACTTGACGACTTCCAGCCTCCCGAACAAGCCGGTTTCCGAAAAGACTTTAGCACCATAGACCACATACATAACCTTCGGCAAATTGTACAGAAGTCCGAGGAGTACAATTTGCCACTATGTCTGGCGTATGTGGACTATGAGAAAGCCTTTGATTCTGTCTAAATTTGGGCGGTGCTGCAGTCCCTTCAGCGGTGCCAAGTTGACTGTCGGTATATCGAAGTGCTGAATTGCTTGTACAGTAGGGCTACGAAGGCTATCCGAGTACAGAACCAGACCACGAAACCTATCCAATTGCAGAGAGGTGTAAGACAGGGTGACGTTGTATCCCCGAAACTCTTCACCGCTACATTGGAAGACGTTTGCAAGCTTCTGGACTGGAAAGGATACGGTATTAACATCAATGGCGAGTACATCAATCACAAAAGGACTATATCGTCGGCAAATCGATTGCCGACGATATAGTCCTTATGGCAGAATCGCTGGAGGACCTAAACACTATGCTCAATGACCTCAATAATGTTTCCCAACGGATAGGTCTTAAGATGAACATGGACAAAACAAAGATCATGTTTAATGTCCATGTCACACCTATGCCGGTAGCTGTTGGAAACACTAAGCTCGAAGTTGTTGACGAGTATGTTTACCTGGGACAAATAGTCCGACTAGGTAAGTTCAACTTCGACCGAGAGGTCAATCGACGGATTCAACTCGTTTGGGCAGCTTTCGGGAAATTACGGCACATCTTCTCGTGAGGTCTACCTCAAAACTTGAAAACAAGACTGTACAACCAGTGCGTGTTGCCAGTGATGACCTATGGAACTGAGACGTGGTCCTTCACTGCTGGCCGGATGAGGAAGTTCAAGGTCGCTCAGCGGGCTATGGAGAGGGCTATGCTCGGAGTTTATCTGCGTGTTAAACTTAGAAATGAGGATATCCGCAGTAGAACCAGAGTGACCGACATAGCCCAACGGATTAGTAAGCTGAAGTGGCAATGGGCCGGCCATATAGCTCGAAGAACCGACAACCGATGGGGAAAAAAGGTTCTCGAGTGGCAGCCTCGTACCGGCGGACGAAGTGTAGGGCGTGCTCCCACTAGATGGAGTGACGACCTGGTAAGACATGCAGGAAGTCGATGGATGCAGGTGACTCAAGACCGTGTTTTGTGGCATTCCTTGGGGGAGGCTTATGTTCAGCAGTAGACTTGTGAAAGGTTGTAATGATGGTGAATGATAATATATAGAGATTTACTGCCTGTAATAAAGGTTGTTATAATAATGTTTATGATAAAATAACATTGAATGTGTGAATAATTATTTTTTGTTTCTTGTAGCTGTGATCAACGTCTGTGCCTAGCGCCACAGTTGCTATGTGATGGTAGACTGCACTGCGAGGACGGCTCAGATGAATTACCCTCAGCATGTGGTTATGGTCAAAAAGAACCGGTAATTATACAAAATAATTTTAACAATATTAATTAATTGTCAGTTAAAGATTCCTTCTAGAATCACCTAATTTCAAACAGGACAGAGTACTAACAACTCAATAAAGAACTTATAGAATCAGGTGTTATTTTGCGGAAATCCGTTATATTAAAGATGTTAAAAATTAATTAATTAATATTTGCATAATAAAATTAAATGATGTGTCTTACTTAGGTTGAAGAGCACCTCCCGCCCTTCCTCAATTGCGTGTACTATCCCCGTTAGCATTAATCTCAATACCACTACTCCCAAGACCTCTTCCCTAAATATTCTGTAAAACAAGACAAAAATTATTTAAGACAAAGTTTTAATTACTTATTAAAATTGTATCATACATCTAAATAAGTTTATGATTTTTAAAATAAATATTATAATAACTTACAATCAAAAATAGGTGAAAGAAGGACAACACAGTAAGAGTTTAAGTCTGCATTCGATCGTTCCTTGTGAAGTAACGCGTCCACAGGCTCGCTTTGAACGGAATAAAACGAAATTTTAGAATTTTTTGAATAGTAAGTCAAAGATGTGCATCAACCAATCCGCAACAGATGAATCGCACGCATCAGCACGTATATAACGCCGTCCCAACTTCGCGGAGGGGCAACTGTTTCGTCTCTGACTTCAAGGTGATATTCCACTATCCATTATTTATTTATCTAGTACAGCCTTGTAAAAGTCCACCTGTGAACATAGGCCTTCATCATAGATTCCCTCATAGGGGGATTTTTTCATAGTAAGCGGGTTGGTAACCGCAGATTTTTATAGTTTTGAGTTTTGTATCAGGAAGATGCTACTGCCCATCTCCTGTTTCCATTTCTTTTTGTCGCCCTTGCCACACGATACGGCGATTTTGGTGTGGTGGATATTCTTATAACGCCACACAACTGTGACACAGTTTATGTTCCGAATTGTTAGTTTAGTGGTATTTTTTTTTTAATGAAATAAATATGACAAGCGAGTAGACAGTCCACCTGATGAGATAGTAGATATTGTGGCCCATAGACGTCTGTTTTTGATTTAGAATCTAAATGCATATGCGTTGTCATCCCTGAGGACTAAGATGGAATGCCTCTTATTCAGTAAAAAGGTTTTCTAATACTCACCATACGATACATAGCAGCAACGACCTCCTATTTTATGCTGGTTTTTTGTGAGAGCGTGGTCCTGTCCCGGTCGAGCGGAACCATTCGTGCTACAACCGTAATATAGCTGCAGAGTGCGGCTCTAGCACGTATAGAAGTGTTTGTCGGCGGCATAGCTGTAGCGTGTAGCGGTTGTGGTTGCAGACGGTGATCGCGGAGACGTCGGGGCGGCGGTCGCGCGCGCTGGCGGTGTGCGGCGCGCTGGCGTGCGCGGGCGCGGGCGTGGCGGGCGCCTGGGCCGCGCTGCGCCGCTGCCGCCGCGCCCGCGCCCGCCCGCCGCCCGCGCGCCCGCTCGTCGCGCTCAAGCCGCCGCCGCCGCGCTCGCGCCCGCTCGGCGCCAGCTGCTCCGAGTGAGTACGCACGCACACACGCACTCATACACTACTATACGCGCGCCCGCTCTGCGCTGGCTGTCCCGATCTTAGTACACCGCACGCACACACACACGCACGCGCTCATTCACTACTGTACACACGCCCGCTCGGCGCCAGCTGCTCCGAACTTAGTACACGCGAACACATTGCATACGCGAAGAGAGAACGTCTGTACACGCGCCCTTCCAACTGCTCCAAATAAGGACAACATGCACACATTAACTACACTACACACACCCGCTCGTATGAGCCGCTCCAAATCCAAAATTACAAAATAAAATCAACACGTGGATAATCCGCAGTGCACAAAGATATCACACCGCAACTCTGACAAATTTCTTTTTTCACCAGATTACAAATAGTATAAATCTGTGTATGACATGGCTACTGTATTACCACTATGTTTTACTGTTATCTTATATAGGAATATTGCCGAGTAACAGTCTGATAAACAATTTAAAAAAAAATAAGCTTATAGTGTATAAGGTGATAAAGAAACTCCGACCAGATATACCGACCGGAAACTTAGGGGTGTCGCATTAAAAAAAGAATCCAAGTTTAGAAATGTAAATGTCGGTTATGTAACCGAAGACTAAGAAAAATAAGAAGGGAAAGAAGTCACATGGAGAGGGCACTCTACACTTCAAATTCTATACAATAATAACTTCAGAATGCTGCTAGGCTTCCCACGGTTTTGTAGTGCACGAGGTAAATTTGTTACTGGAAGCAGCATAATATGGATGCCTTCTATGCCATCATATGCAAGAGAGTTGTTTCATTTTTGCATAGAATCCGGAAAAACAACGGTATTTTGACCCACAATATGCAAACCTAACGTAAATCTGCTTTCCCATACTAACTAAATCATATTTTCGTTCTACAGCACACTTTACAGTATTACTATTTTATCTATTCTCTATGAGTTACTCTTGATCTCCTCTATCGTGTCTTGTGCTAGCGGCTTAAAGAGAATTCGTCCCCCAATATCGTCCCGTGATTGTCGTAAGGGAATCGCCAGTAAAATATCTTGGTCACCAATATAATAACCCATTTACGTCAGACGTAAAATATCCAGACCTGTAATGGGAAGCGGGTACTGCGATCGTCGACACACCTGTCAAGCGAAGCGATTACGCGAAATCCCACTTATAACACGAGAGGCTTCAGCTGTGGACTATTATGAGCTGGTGTTTATCTCAACCCTTATATCTGCGAGTTAGGCGGATACTATTAAATAGTCGGAGCCTGATGTGCAGTTCGTTCGACGATTGCGCGACGGAGAGCCTGTGCGAGCGCTACCCGCGGCCCACCGCCAACCCGCCGCCCAGCCCGGCCACGGCGAGCAGCGGCAACGCGGGGGCGGGCGCGGGCGCGGGCGCGGGGCGGCGCCGCGCCTACCGCCACTACCGCGCCATGAACCGGCCGCCGCCGCCCACGCCCGTCTCCACCGACGCCTGCGAGTCCGAGCCCGAGCCCGCCGCGCGCGCGCCGCCGCCCTCTCCCGCGCCGCTCGCCTACTGACCCACGTAAGTCGCTACACACCTTTATATAACGTATACACCGCGCCGCTTCACCGCTGATGCGTACTGACACACCGACATGAGCCGCTGCACGACTTTCATACGGCTCGGGGGACCGAAACGAATATACGGGACACAGTTCAGATAGTTTAAGATGATATTAACTAAGTATGAGTGGCGTATTAGTTATGAAGTAAAGTAAAAATAGGAACATTACATTCGCGACACGGCGGTACGATCCGCGTCAGCATAATATTAAATGCATCTTTGGACCGTACGTAGACCATGCCACTCGGCCACTGATGCATAGCGACACAACCAGAGGAGTCGCTGGGTACGAGCCTTCTCTCATTTCTGAGAGAAACATGGAACGCTATTCTTATGCGTGTTGTCGGACATCACAATTTCGTTCACAAAATATATCCCAAAGTTTACTTTGGAAACAGGCTCGAAGGACCAGAAATTAAAAGGCTTATTTATTGCTGTTTTTTATATTTCAAAATCAGATAAAGCAATTAAGTAAACCTCAAACTTTATTTTATGTGTACTTTATATTTTACTAGTTATTTACATTTCAGATGTCTGGTGAGCTGCACTACAATTCTATCAACGTTGTTCATCGATCTATTTTATGCTGACTAACAAAATCAAGGTTAAAGGTTCAGAATTATATTCATTGCTATCCCAAATAATTGATTTTTAGTACTTTTAAAATATCTTTGTTTACTTACATGATATCCACCTTTGTTAGAGTGAGACTGCAATTGAAACGCAACATCTAGTGCCATATAGACCCGTCAAACGAAAAACGCAATTCGGTTTAGTATCATATTTTTGAAGTGAAACTTCTTTAGAATCGTTGTGATTAGAAACTCGAAACTTAAAAGCGACACTAAAAATAGACAAACATATACATCTATAGATATACAGAGTTTCCTATTATCTCGGTATCTTTGTGCGGTGCTCTACTCTATACTAAACACTGCTTAGAAAATAAGCCATTCAGTTACCATATTGAATAAAATCGTAAATCATAACATGATAATTTTGAAAAATTTGGTATAATCCAATCCATCCATAACAAATCAACGATTGCAAAATTTACCTACTGATTTATTTTAAATCAGTCGTATTTAGGCCACCTAGCGTCTTTTTTACGTACCACCTTGATGATCAATAAATTTTTCCGATAAAATGAGTAATTATAAAATGAAATAGATTGCGCTTATAACGAAACAATTTTATTCGAAAAAAAAATATTCTTTTGATTCATTACTCTAAAATTTAGGCGTAGATTAAATGTTAAGTATTTTTTAACTTGGTAACAATATTATCATAAATAAACCCTGCAATTATCCTGATACTGCATTCGTCTCATTCTTTCGAAGTTTCACTTTTAGCTCGTGTGAACTGCACACGTTTTTTTTAATGCACACCTATGTGTATTTGCCTTGTTAATCAAATATAGAGTATACAAACAAAGCACCACAACATGTTCGTGCTTAATTAATTTGCCAATAACAAAAAAAAGTAGGTTGTGATATGTATGCAGTCTGACGTGTCGAACAACGAAGTGTTATTTTATTAGCCTAATAAGAATACATTTAAGTACAAAAATGACTCAAGATGAAAAACAGTAAATTTTATATACAATAATGTTTCACGATTATTCACATATTTATGTTTGTACTATTTAAATATTTCTCTATCACTCATTAGATAACATAAACATTTACACCACTACTACGCAAGCAATATGGGGCAATATGTGCAAAACATAGCTTTAAGGCAAAAAATGGGAAAATGTTTATTTCTCAAAAACGAAATATTTTATGTCTTAATAGCTCGTTTAAGAGTTATAGTTAAAACCTAGTCCTAGTAGGATATAAAAACAGCTTCCTTTACATTTATGTATACGTTCAATTTGCGCGAAGGCGTGAAAAGAGAAAATTTCCATGCATTTGAGAGCATAAATTTTATAGCTTAAATATAAACAGTCGTTGATTATTGTCGCTTACTTAAGTATTAACCACGGAACAAATACAAAGAGGTGTTGTAATTAGATTTCACTATTAACAACGCGTGACAAATTGTGGGGTGAGGGGGTGTTAAGCTCCACCCACTTAACTATTTACCATCTACCGATAAATAGTAAAACTACTCGCATCGTTCCATATCGATGTTGCAATGTAGTTCAGCTACCTTGACGATAGATGGCGGCCTGTTCACAAAATAATTATAAACACTATAAAAATAATATTTTGGCGATTAGAAATTCTTTAAGACTGAATGCAAAACAAATTTCAGCACCTTCGTGTGATTATTTTACCAATAGTGAGCTCTACGTACCTTTAAAAATAGTTCCCATGACACAAAGTGTCGCCATCTAGTATCGAATATATTTAATTATATTTGAAAGTCGACGCAAAGAGATTTTTCTAGAACTATTTTAATAAATTAGGTAATAATATAAAATAAGTAATTTTAACTTACAAATGAAATGTGATGCCATCCATAGCATCAAAGGATCTATTTAATTGGTTTTTACACGATAAAACACAACACTTCATCCTTTACTTCTTAATACTATGAAAATACACCGATTTGCGATTTTCGACACATAAGCGCACAGAACGAACGCTGACAGTATACTAATTAAAGCCACGCCCACTGTGATGACGTCAGGACCCATTTAGAATCACAGTGCACAGTTGCTTAGGTCGTCTCCTCTTTGTATTTGCTCCGTGGTATTAACTATCTCTACATCTGCCTCTTTCTATTGTCATTTAGTGAAGAGAGAGCAACTTGCTTAAATAGACATCGATATTTTAAGCGACAGCCTTTATGTTAATAACAGCAATTAAACGTTTACGCACAATCTTTTTCAATATTATCCCATTGACCATTTCAAGCGATAGGAATTGAGTTATCGGATGCACCACATCCATGATGTAATTAGTAATGACATTGTAAGCTCGGTGACACATCGCATTGTGTCAAAGAATAAGGTGAAATTTCAATTTTGGTGCTATTTCACTGTTCGTGCCTCAGTAATTGTAATTATATAAGTTTTTAATTTGTATATTAATATTTAGCATAAATTGTGTAAATATTACCTACATAAATCTAGATTATCATAAGAACTCGATAGGAACGAGACAAGTTATTCCGGGTTATGACTACTTATGTTTACGAGTTTTTATAAAGTACATTTTTAAACAAATATCTGCACAAATTACTTGTCCATTGTGTGTTTTAGCATTTCCTAATTAGCTTCATAATATATACCTATGTACCTAAAGTACATTTATTTAATAAAATACTTCTAATATAAGAATACAATTTTAATGTATAAAAATATTCGATTCATTTTCTCTATAAATAAAATTAGATGAAGTAGGTACATCTAGTTTTTATAATATTATTTATACCCTAGTCACGTAATAGGACCTTCAAAATTTTTAGATAGACATTTTCTAACTTTACAGTTCTTAAATATTAATATTTCCTCCAGTTTTTAAAGTTTTTAGATCAATATTTAACTAGTGTCTGTTTAAGTCCTACTATACTAATTTCTCTGTTATGAATTGTTATGGTTGCGTAAGCAATATAGTATTCTAATAATATAATATAACAAACTAGGAAAGAAATTGTTTCGGGGATTTGAGATATTTAGGTATTATGCAAGTGACTAAAAGCAATAATTTCTAATGATCAATTTTATTGATTTTCGTACATCTATATGTATACGATTCAACCTAATTGTACAGTCACGCGCATGCCATTTAATATAGTAATTTATAAAAGTATTTTATTAATTGATGACAACATAATCTTTCTGAAATTATATTGCACTTGACTGTACCCCCGAGTCACATTTTCGTTTCACATACTTCATATAATTTGAGATTAATTACTGAGTTTTTCCCTTCTCTGTATTTAAATTGGTATCTTTATTAAGTTATTAAGTTGAATTATATGTGTTGCCTTACTACACTGTATGTATATTGCCAATATTGACTGATTAGAGATTTTGATAAAAATAAAACTTCTGTACCTGTTCGTAATTATTTTCCTTCTCCTCAACAAAATATAATAAATTAAAGTTGCATAATTTGGTAACGCAAATAATAAAAAGTTATATTGCTCTGTGGTTTTAGATTTTTTTAATATAAATAGGGATGACAAATGGGCACACAGACTACCTGATGGTCACTAGGTGCTTGTACCGTAAACACCTCCAAACTCCAAGCAATCCTTTGCAGAACTAAATATTAGCATCATTATGCTAGCTCGCATAAAATAGCAGCATTTGCTGTATATTGATGAGAATCTGATAACCTTTTTACTGGCCTAATAAATCACTAATGCAATAAAACCGGACTAGGGCTGTATCACACTGGTGATTTGCAAGTGAGTTCAATGCGAGGCGAGTGCACAAAGAGCGCGCGGTAAGCCCGCCACGAAGACACCGCGCCACAGAATAAATAATAGACCGCGCGAATAGCGCCTTCGACGCGCCATTATGTAAGCTCACGTTTAACAGCCCGCCCCACCTCATTTAAGTCGTATCAAAGAGACGAGTGTGAGCAGTGTTTCCTCGTCAGAATCCAATGTTGCGCTATATCCATTGTATCAACGACGTTTGAACCCCTCAACGATGCTACGTCCGCTCACACTCGTCTCTTTGTACGACTGAAGTGGGGTGGGGTGGGCTGTTTTCACCAATGTACTATACAACATATTTATTCTATTTATTAAGCTTAACTATATTTTCCTCCATATTTTTTTTTTCAAAATAATCATACATTACATAGAATATGGGGGTCTGTAAACACTAACAACATTGAGGTACTTGTGCTCAACAGATGCCATTTCTGCAGTTCGCTCATCAGAGAGGCTCACAATATCCTTACGTTGTAACATAACAACAATTTACTGGCTAATATTAAGGAGATCACGTACTTTTTTTCTCTTTTATAGCAACTGATCACCTTGTGT